TACCTAACCTAGGAATACAAATATTTGAATCAGTTTTTCAATACAAGATGGAGTTAAGACTGGTAAAGTAGGCAAATATAATGAGGTCATGCTTCGGATGTCATTGAAGGTTTACTTGAACTCAGTCTATGGATGTGTGAAGCTCTGTTTGGAGGTAATTGTAGCATTCACATAATGTGTGAACACTTTCCTAAATGGAAGTAACATTCTGAACTTTTATGCCATATTAGATATAACTTCAAGCAAAATCTCAGTTAAATGTTAGCTCATTTACCTAGGGACTTTAAAAACACACTAATGGAATTTGCTATCTGTCAATTTCTTTATTTAAACTGTTAATACTTTATGATGTCCCTAAACGGTATGTCTGAAATAATGTAAGAAAGAATTAATGCATGTTCTTTCACACTAAAATACTCCTCTGCTGTGAATAAATCATAGTAGATGGGGAATGCACAGAGTCTATTTGCAATTCCTAGCCTGGAATGCTAGTGGTCTGTCTCAGTTTTTAATCACTTTATTCTCCCAGGGTTCTGAACTTTTTAGTCATTTTGCAATTTAGAAAAGCTATTAACTGCACAATTAAATCATGTGCTACTACAAACTGTTAAGTGTATTTAATGCAGTTTAACTAATGACTGCCACTATCCTGTTCTTCTCCCCTTACCACCTAGTGCTTTAGAAAATCCAGTAGTTCCAGTGATCCTATGACCACAAAGTGAGACAGATAATTTTACCTATCTTAGTGAAAACAAAATATGCTTTTAAAAAAACAAACAAAGCAACAGGCTTCTGTTGGACTGAAACTGCATCTAAAGGGATTGAAATTACCAGAGAAAGCAAAGGAAGATTTGAACCTCCTCCCAGATTCCCATGCTGTCTCTCCCTTGTCAAAAAGGATCAAATTATTGGGTTTTTTTTCTGATGAAGTTGCTAATATGTGCTTGTTATTATCAGTTTGAGCTCTAATTCGAAACCTGTGAAAGTAAAATTTCATTGTCACCAATATCTAGCATTTCTTCAAGGATGTGTTAAGAAGCATCTTCCACAGTTTAGTATGGGTACACTACGGATACTAGAGATTGGAGAGTAAGTGTGTAGGAAATTATCTGTAGAAGCCATCAGTTGTTGATTCAACAATAATAATTAAAACTGAAAGACTTTCATCTCCCAAATGTAAGAGTCTTATCTTCAGTCCTGTGCTGGCAGTAAAAATATTAGTGTTATCAGTGCTTATTTTATACCCCACTCATGTTATCCATTATACCCCAAACATACTTTTTTTTCCTGATTGAAGTTCACGATAAAGGGCATACTGTTCTGGTTGCTATTCTCCTGAATAACCCTAGCACAATTGCTGAGCATGGAGGTCCTTTCTTTGATCTCTGCACAAGGCTTTCCCTCTTTGTTAGAATACCAGGAGGCTTGGATTGGGCCCAGAGAGTGGTAGTGAATGGAGTTACATCCTGTTGTTATCTGGTCACCAGTGATGTTTCTCAGGGCTCAGCATTGGGGCCAGTCCTGTTTAGTATCTTCATTGATGATCTAGATGAGGGGATCAAGTGCACTCAGTCAGTTTGCAGGTGACACCAAGTTGGGTTGGAGTATTGGTCTGCTGAAGGGTAGGAAGGTTCTGCAGAGGCATCTGAACAGGTTGGAATGGTCTGAGGCCAATGGTATGAGGTTCAACAAGACCAAGTGCTGGGTCACAACAACCCCAGGCAGTGCTACAGGCTTGAGGAGCGGCTGGCAAACTGCCTAGAGGAAAATGACCCAGAGGTGCTGTTTGACAGTGGCTGAACAAGAGCCAGCAGTGTGCCCAGGTGGCCAAGAAGGCCAAGGGCATCATGGCCTGTACCAGAAATAGTGTGACCAGCAGGACCAGGGACGTGATTGTCCCTCTGTGCTCAGCACTGGTGAGGCCACAGCTCAAATCCTGCTCTGAGCCTCTTAAGTCAGGAAGGACACTGATGGGCTGGCGTGTGTCCAGAGAAGGGCAACAGAGCTGGTGAAAGGTCTAGAGAGTAAATCCTGTGAGGAGTGGCTGAGGGAGCTGGGATTGTTTAAGCCTGGAGAAAAAGAGGCTTGAGGGACACCTTATTGCTCTCTACAATTACCTGAAAGGAGGATGTATCCGGGTGTGGATTGAGTGATGTGGCAAGAGGAAATGGCCTCAAGTTGCACCAAGGGAGGTTTAGATTGGATGTTGGGAAAAATTTCTTCACTGAGGGTTGTCAAGCACTGGAATAGGCTGCCCAAGGAAGTGGTAGAGTCAGAGTCCCTGGAGGTGTTTAAAGGACTTGTAGACCGGGCACTTAAAGACATGGTGTAGTGCTGGACTTGGCAGTCTGGGTTAATGGTTGGACTCAGTGATCTGAAGGGTCTATGCTTCTAAATGTACAGTTGTCTCACTTTGACATTGAATATAGCCTGTAGTTCAGCTTGAGGCTTTAGGGTTGTGAGTGTTGTGAGTTGTGTTTCACGTTGCCTGGTAACTGCTCTCCATGTGTGGGATGATTAATAGAATTTGAAACAACAATTCTTGTGCACCAAGAAGCCCGCACGTTTTTGTTTTGCAGTCTTCTGGCTCATACATAATACTTTGCTTTCCTTTCCCTTCCTTTCCGTGGTAATGTGGCAATCTTGCAATATTACATGTTCTTGTTGTCTTAGTAGACCCCTGTGACTACAAATTCTGACAAAGTAGACTTCATCAACTTAATTTTGATGAATTTCAGTTCATTAAACTTATTTCCTTGTGTATCATCATCATCCTTTTTCTGGAACAATTATTTCCTACCAGATCATAACAGATTGAAGAGGAATATTATGAATTTGCAATAAAATATATGACTACAAGACAAACCACATTAATACTTATGCTGCAGGGTTATGAAACAGGTGATTCAATATAAAGACTTTAATCAGATTAAAATTATAAGTGGTTATATAAGAGGCATACGTTGTGTTATAATTAATTGGAACTGGGCTCCAAGTATGTTTCTAAGAAGTCTTAAAAAACCCATTAGAAATGTGAGTTTTCAGGCTGTTTCTGTGCAACAGTTATTAATGTGTTAAATACAGTTTCAGACTCTGTATTCCTGTTGAGTTCAGTATTCTGCAGTTGCGTTCATGACGTGCATGTCTGTTAGCAGTCAAGGCGGGGATGCTGAAGCCTGAATCAATGAGGATTGAATTATCCTCCCCATGTTAGAGGAAGCTTCTTCAGTGCAGGGTTGTGACTCACCATGATTTAAGAATTTTGCTTTCAAGTTGCCTATCCTGTAGGCAAGAGAGGAATTCGTTTACCACTAGTCTCGATTTAGCATCCTGAATTTTTAGTTTAGATACGTGGCTGCCACAAAGGTTTGTGGAAAGAGAAGTAAGGAAATGAAAGTACTTCACTTGCTACTGCAGAAGAAATCCAAGAAGTTTGCTATGGATTTTGTAAAACACTGAGAGGACTGTCATCAAGTACTAAAACTTCTCTTCACATATCTTCTCATTTTTTTATTTTCAGTATCTTTTGAAATTGTAATAAAAACCACTACAAAATTACCACCTTGATTCATTGTTACTTCTTCCCTCCCTCCCCCCTGCCTCCTACCTCTATTGAAGACACTTTTATGGATTCTTTTACTACAACTGAGTTTTGACCAAGGCATGCAGCAAAGGGTTGAAGTTACCCTTGTGTGGTTTTCTGAAGACCTGTGTCTTATTTTAATCTTTAGCTATTTTTCCATTCACTTTTGATCACTTTGCTACTACCATCTATAATTAAAAAAATACGTTTGTCTGTAAAGTAATTATGTCTTTTAAAAAAACAGCATTTGGGTATATGGATTAAGTAATTCACTTTAAACCGTTGTGTAGGGTTAGATATTCTTTAGATATTGACAGAGGTTTCAAAGGCAGGCAAACAGACCTATGTGTAGAGTCGATTTCTGGTACCAACAAGCCCATTGTAACGCAAATTACTCCAGCTACCCAGTTAAGTTCTTTGTCGCAATGAGATGCTTTGGTGACAAATTGAGATGGAAGAATTTAGGAATGCAGACATACAAGTTGGGGAAGTCAGTAGCTTATTTCTTAAGAAAAGTTTTTTAACATTGAGTACTCTCAATATTGGTAATCTAGACCACAGCTTCTGAGATCTGACACTCTGTTTTATTCTAATCTTGATGGTTTCCATCTTAGTTTTGTTTAAGTTTATGGACTTTAAATGCAAATTAAATTTAAGCATAATGAAACACTTTAACTGTATTCTTTATCCATTTTTGTATCAACATCAGAAATCTTAAGATTTTTTGTAATTCATCATGTTTGCGTAAGATGTGTTCCTTTATATTCTTTTATTTAGTTCTGTGGAGTAAATGAAAGGCCCGATTTACTAATATCTCAAATTTAATTAATTCTTTCAAGGTGGTGTATTGTTTTTTTAAGTGACGTTATGAAGATAATTCATAATTTTATTTAAACAACTCAAGGATTTGTACTTCATCAGAGAAGACCAGGCTCAAAATACCTTTTACCTACCTAATTTTTTAAAATAAACAAAGTCTGTCCCTTTTTTTCAGATTTGCTATTTTCACAAATAGTTTACATATTACTAGAAAGGGAAGAATGCACATATTTGCATTGTTTTCAAAAAAAGAGGGAATTGTAAGCAACAGATTGTTTTCAGAAGTGTCACTTTCAACTCATAGGCTTTAAGTCCAAAAAATACCAATATACATACCTTAAATAGTTTATAGAATAATAATAAAAATATTTCATTTGGCAGTTCATCTTATTTCTAAGGAAATTTTGTATATATCATTAATCTGTTTTCATGTCACTACACCTACTGCTTTGAAAAATGGGTAGAAAAGCCTATAGCTAATTTCAAAAAACCTATATAAATCTTGCATGCAGTTGTGATGTTGTATGTTACCTCCTTAGTGAATAAAACAAGTTGATTCAAAGATTCTCTGTATATCTGTCATTTTGTCTTTTGGTAGGCTGATGAGGTGGTGGATGAATATAATGAAAATAATTTTTATGAATCTGATGAAGAACAGAAGGAGAAGGATCAGAAACTGAAAAGCACCTATACCATGGACCCAGATCACAGGCTGCTGTTACGAAATACAAAGCCCTTGCTTCAAAGCCGAAATGCTGCTGTATGACAAATTGCTTTTTCATTAAAATGTTAAACTACTAAGTATCTATGTTTTTAGAAAATTTAGGAAATTGAAAAGAAGTAAAATCTACATCTCTTTACAAGTGTGAAAATGCTCTTTAGTAACTTTAGGAGAAGCTATTTCAAATTTAACTTAGCTTGTAAGCAAACGTGTGCACTGATTGTGGTACGTGCTCCAGATAATGTGGATAAACAAAGTATTAGCAAAAAATGTGAGAACATTTGAATCCAACTTAAATAGCATGTGATGACTATACCATAGCTAGCTTTTAATGCTAAAGCCTTCAGCAACTAGGATGGCACAAACTGTTTTAGTGGTACAGATCTACCAAGAAAATCATACTTATTATTGATTCATTAATTTGTTCTTTCTTTTGAGTCTCACATTTTAAAAGTAGACAATATACACCTTGAATTATTTTGTCAGTCCAAGCCAGATTCATAGTGGTGTTGCCTTGGTAGGGTTGCAGGATAGATACAACGTCATGACTGCTGTATGATCTACATTATTTCCATGAAATTTTAAAATACGGGTAAATTTTTAGAAAGAGAAAAACCTATGCTGATGGTGAATCATTGTGATGTTAATCAGATCACGGAATATTATTTCTAACCTCAGCTTGTCCTGTCTTCAGGGAAAAGTCTTCCAGTGATAGTGAGTATTCATATCACTGCAAAAACAGTTACTGCACCATGATTAAGTCACCTTGCAATTATTCCTGATAAGCTAAGCAGATCAGGTTGTAGTTCTCCGTTGGAAAATACTTCTAGATTCCTAATGTCAGACTCCTTAAAATCACTTATAATCTGTGAGCAGACTTTGGAAACAAATTGATTAAGTTTTAAGAACTTTTTGCTAGAAATCACTGTTTGATGGCTATGATATTTCCTAATTTAGCATAAAGAAGGGGTGCATTTGATATGTTTGCCATCATACTTCGCTGAGAACAGGTTCAGTTACTTTTTGCTCACATTCCATAATTTTCTTATCACTGTTAAATATGGTCTTGGTTCTCATATTTATGATCTTTAACTTCCACTATAACAGTTAGATATTTAAGTGCACTTTGACAAGTGAAATCATGCTTCTTTCAGTTGCTTTGAATTGTTACATGGATATTCATACCTGTGTAACAATTCATACTATTCAAATACAGAATTTACTTGCAATTAAATTAATTGCTTTCTTTGTGACCTTACATTTTTCTTTGTAATAAAAGATACCTGTATTATATTGCTAAAAATATTTTGGTTATTTCCTGTTTTCAGATTTTTTTAATCACTTTTTATTGCTTAATAATAATTTCTGTTTCATTAATACTAAGATTTAAGATACCGGGTGAGGTGTCATCATGATGGCTTTGGAGTCTCCTTTCTATGATTTGTTTGAAACAGAGAGTTATTGTGACAGTATTGTAGGAAAGGTTGTGACATGACATATTCATTAGCATAAAGGTCATATTTTGTCTTTTACTTATGAGAAAACTTAAAAAGAAAAAATAGTATGAAAAATAAAAAATAAAAGTGCATTTCACAGCAATTTCCAATCTTGGCTCATAGGCAACATAAGCTGCTTATATATCTGTCTTTTGCTTTTTGCTAGCCAGGATATTAGTATACAACCCTGTAGTGTTTACTTTTTTTGGATTTGATACTTTAAAAGTTGCCAGTAAAGGCAGCTGTTGTTTTATAAATTACATAATAGAATAATGGAGTGAAATATTTTAAGTGGAAAGTAGATAATAGATAATGAGGGATTTTGAACTTGTATTAATAAAGTCAAAGCACAACATTAGCAGAATTTTTAAAGAATATTTCTTCATTAATTTATACAGCTGATGTTAGCAATACTGTCTTGTTAGGGATGATATTGGTATCTTTACAATTTGAATTATGTACTTTTTTCCCTCTCATTGTGCCTCTTCCTACGACTTTCCATTTATTATGGCATACAATAAATACTGGGAGGAAGTGAAGGTACTTAATTGGTAAAAATATATTAATTCTGGTGTTCTTCCTCAGTCTGCTTTGTTGATCTCGAAGACTGCAGGTAGGCACTTTGCTTTCTGAAAAAGAGTGAGCTGGTAGTTCTGCAGGTCTGTAGCAAATGTGATAACGATTTGAAGTTAACATGTTGTTTTGAATGTTCTTCTTTTAGGTGGTAATGGCAGTTGCACAACTTTACTGGCATTTGGCACCAAAATCAGAAGCTGGTATTGTTTCTAAGTCATTGGTGCGTTTACTCCGTAGTAACAGGTAGGTCAAGTCCGTACTTAACATTACTAATTTTTTGTGAGAGCTTTTGTGCATACTTATTTAGCCGTAGTTGTAAGAACGCAACTGTTTCATTATTGGTTTCATTTTAAAATTGTCCTGTAATACTCATTTTTACTCAGAAAATTAGGATCATTGAAAGTAATTCCATCATTTTCGTTACCACATCCAGGATCCTTCAATATTGTATTTTATTCTGTGACTTTCATTCTAACAAGAATCATGGCTGCCTTGTTAGTATTGAAATAGAGGCAGTACCAATTGATTTGCTTAGGGTCTTGGTTTTTTTTAATTATTGGAATTTATTAAAAATTTACTTCCACCCATTTGCTGCATAGAAGTGGGTTTTCCCTGCTCAGTTTTTGGATTTTGAACTTCCATGTATATATGAGACACTATTAAGATGTTTTCAGAATAACTTTCTAACTATACCTGGTATTTTTGTTTAGAACTTCACTATGAGAATAATTTACATTTTAAATTCATTGTTTGTGTCAAACATACACCAAGATTTTTTTAAAAAGTCACTTTTGTTATGCCTGGTAAGATTACTCAGAGGTACTTTAAATTTTGTAAGCTCTGTCATCGTAGAACTCTTTCTCTGTAAACTTCTGCAACTTACTCATGGCTAATATCTTTGTCGTTTAAAAATTAGTAAAGAAGTAAAATTGGGTTATGTTTTCATGCTTTTATTTCAGGTAAGAATGAATCACTGTTATTTTAGTGTTTTGTTTTATAGTTCTCTGTGCTTCCCATTCTCTGTACAAAGATAAGTAAAATGGCTAAAGCAATTTGGTACATGCACAGATAAACTCATAGTCGCAAGTAATATACTCATTTATACTCAAATGTCATTAAAAGAGAAGTCACTTTTCTCTTCTACCTCAACTAGTGCCTAAAATGTCACTAGTCTTCTGATTTTCCTATGTTGAATGGCTTGTCTGTTCTCTGTTACCATTCTGGGTGAAACACTTCTGCTATTAGAGCCACTTTGAAATGGCTTTTGCTGTTTGCCCTTGAAGTTATGTGCCTATGGCCTTTAAATTAATGTCAACTAAACTATAATCTAGTTAGGGTGAGAGTACCTGAAAGAGCATTTCATAGCAATTTCCAATCTTGGTTCATCATGTGCAGCTGATTATTTCCATGTACCTATGTAAGAATTACACAAAATAGGTTTAAAAGATATTAAGTACATCTCTATTATTACTTTTCTTTGTAAGCAACAGTTGTAATTACCTTAGAGCTATTGAGTAAGAGGAGATAATGGGCATGATGATTTCTCTATTAGGATGTATTTGCAGCATGCAAGGTTTGAGCACTCATGGTTCAGAAAAATAGTGTGTAAATCATTGTTTAGTTTTTAAGCAATTGGTGGCACAAATTCTGCAGTTTAAAAGCTTTAGACTGGTACTCAGATTTCTTTTTTCTCACTTCTGCTGAGGTTTTGAACTAATACATGAATTATGAGAATGCCCTCCAATCATGTTTAAAGTTTTTGTGTTAAGAATATTACGTAAATCTGTTGTCTGTATCTTAGGAAGACTATTATGTAAAAGTGCTGCTTTTTGATAGATTTGTATGCCTGCCAGTGTAAACCCTCAAGTCAAAGGAGACCCTAGCCCTTTTTGAGAATTTTTAGAAAAATTGTTTAAGACCAGAAAAGTCATAGCAATTCTTGCTAATTGTGCAAGGATTAACTGTTCTTGTAATTAATGCAGTCATTTCAACACTGCGGATAAAGGCAGTATGTTTTTGTTCTCCAACTAAAATATCCTGAAATACTTGTTCCAAGAAGGTGGTTGAAATGTAAGGTTTTTGTAAGTGATTTTCATGATATTAAAATGATCAATGGATTTCTGGTTTAAATAAATACCCAAGGTCCCCAAGAGGCACCATTAAGCTGATGTGAGTGAATATTTTTGCATATTGGCATTTTAAAAAATAAAAACCTGGTTTCATGCGTCTTCTTGTGAAGCAGATGATGAACTTGTAGCAGTTGTCTTCAATGTTTGTGCCAAAACAAATGTATAACTGACTTGGCATTCAAATAAAATTGGACTTTCTTTACCGTGTTTCATTTTTCTATGTATCTTTAATTTTGTGGAATGACTCTTATTTTTTTTTCACATTCTAGGGAGGTGCAGTATATTGTTCTGCAAAATATTGCCACTATGTCAATTCAGAGAAAGGTATACCCTATTTAGAATTTTCTAAATCATATTTTATTTGAAACACAGGAGAGCTACATAAATATGTTCTGATTTTCAGGGTATGTTTGAACCTTTTCTGAAGAGTTTCTATGTTAGATCAACTGATCCAACTATGATCAAAATACTGAAGGTGAGTTTAAAAACAAATTCATCTGTATAGTGCTGGACTAATCAGTTTTCGACAGGAAGGTAAAATCCTTTTCACTGATATGACACAACTCATTCTGTTTGGTTTCTTTTCTTCGCTAAGAAATATAGAGTTGTGGCGCTTAGCTTAAGTCCACCAGTGTCCTTTGGGCTTGTCAGGCTGCCTAAAAGTTCTCGTTACCGTGTTGCAGGTGGCAGATGGGCTGTGTTTTCCACTACAGTGTTTAAGACTTTTCAATGATAGAGAGCACTACAATTTTTATCCAACCATCCATTCTAACATTGTAGAGTTTGACTGTTTTCATGCGAGGAAGGGAGTCTTTAATACTGTTAGCTTAAATGGAGTTTAAGTCTTTCCCCTGTACAAAATGGGGCAGTGTTAGAGTCCCAAATTCCCTTTGAAGTCAGCATTTGATATGAGAAGTACTTTAGGCTTTCCTCAAGGTCACATCTCAGTGCATGTTTTTTGACTGTTGTCTTCTTGTTTTCTCTGTTCTTATTCTTTAACAAATGTGAAATCCTTGACAAAACAATAGCTAAAAAATTCTCTACTGTTATGTGCCTTTTCTCTTGTTTTCCTTTAGGTTGTCTTAGGCACTTGTGTTTAGGAGTGGAAGGTACAGTTTTCTGAAAGAAACATCATTTTTTCCTTATCTTCATTTTACATGCATGTTGCACCCTCATTATGTGTTCAAGAGGGGTACAGTCCAAGATGGCTATACCAACCCCCTCGTGTTTTTATATGTACAACATTAAGTCTAAGTAAATTTGAGGCAAAAAGATATTCTTCACATTTAATGATTATGATAACTGTCAGGAATGCTGTCAGGAATGCCTGCCTTACTGTTATCCAAGAAAAGTCAGTCCCAAAATAATTGAAGTTGATCCATTTAAATTTCCATATTAATTGATAATACAACATGGAAGGCGTGGAGAAGTAGAAATTGGCATTTTTCCTTTCGTTGTCTCATTTGTTTCTTGATGGCTGAAAAATTTAGGACAACCTGAACTGTTATGTGCGTAAGAAAATCTTGTGAATTCTCCATCTCCTACCTTTGTAGTTCCAGCATATCGGCTATAAGACAGAATGATGAGACCCATGGCAGTATTTAAGATGTAGGGGCACCCTGGAATTCATCTGCTGTGCTGTTTAGATTTCTGTTTTGTTCCTTTTTTCTTCCCCAACATCAAGTTTGCCTTTTTGATCACTGGTTAGCATTGAGCTTATATCTTCGCAGATATTTTAATCTCAATTTCTCAGTTATATTTAGTTGTAATCATCTCAGAGCCTGTCATTTTCTTTACAGGTCAGGTTTGTACACAATTGTGAACATTACTTTGCAGATACATGTGCTGAAATTTCTTTTGCCATTTTATTAACCAGTCCCCTACTACTTGGACCTTTTATGCAGCTTTTCTTAGTCAACCTTTGTCTTCATTTCATGGAAAACTGTTCCATCAGTTAAAACTTTGTCACCTATCTTCTCATTACTTTCATAATTCATATATGAAAAAGGCTAGCAGAGATACTTGTGATATTCCATTGATAGCCATCCTGTACTATAAAATAGTCTCCTTTTTTCCTGCCTGTTCATCTTTTTCATTTATCCTCTTGCTTTCTGTGCTATACTAGTTATCTTTAATAGCCTTTGGTTATAGATCTCACCAAACTGTTTTTGAAGTTCTGGTGGACTGTATCAATTAAGTATCCTTTTCTGGGTGACTCCAACTCAAAAAATACCACCAGATTGCTGAGTATGACTTCTCTTTAGAGAGTCAGGGTTGTCTTTTCAGTTTACTTTATTCAAAGGTAAAACAGTTTGGAAGTATAGCATCTTAACAATATGTGCCAAGTGTTGTATATCATCCTTTTGTTCATCAGGAATAAAGAAGAGAGTTTTCACGGTCTGATGTTGTTGATGTTGATTAAGATCTGAGGAATCTCATAGATGCAAGTGTTTCTTTACTGAGTTTAAGGGTCTTTTTTTACAGTTCATCTGAATATAAGAGACAATTTATCCCTCCCCATCTGCAGTTGTGACTGCCATTATTTCTTCTTACACTTGCTAGTTGTCACATGCTAAGGCCTGTTGGGTAACATTGAAAAGCATGCTGACAGAAGTATTTCATTTGATACACAGTGCAACACTAAAGCTAGAGCTTATAGAAAATGCATGACTGAACCCTACTATCCTGCTTTGAAAACTTTGTGAATACTAGCAAGGAAAATACTCCTCTTGAGTGCAATGCTGGTGCCAATTTATACTGACAGTGGTATACTCTGTTGAATTCGGAATGGTATTTTTAGTAGTAGTATCTTTTACTTACATACAATAAAAATATAGTGTGCATGTGGTACTGTTTATAATATTTTAGCTCTTGATAAAATACCTAGTTTTTTTTTTTCTTGTAGCTTGAAATCTTGACAAATTTAGCAAATGAAGCCAACATATCAACTCTGCTTCGAGAATTTCAGGTTTGTAGAGAAGTATACTCTTTTAATGTGAAATGCTCTCTTTTGCCATTATTGAATGTTTCTTTTAGATTCTTAGACTTATATTTTTCAAGTTAAAGTCTTTTCCAGGATAAAATGTTCTCAAAATGGAAATATCGTGATGGATAATGGAGCTTTTTGTAGATGGAGAGGAGTTTCAACATTTTGTTTCTCACTCTCCTTCCAGCTACCAAAAAAAAAATGGGTGATGGCAAAAACTCAAGCATTCTATATTCTTCAAAAAACATTCTACCAACTTGACTGACACTGTACATCACTATATGATAGGATCTTAATTTTAGCAGTATTTGGCCATCAGCATTTATGGCTGAACCTCACTTCCATAAGTCATTTGATGAAATAGTATTATCTCCATTATCTTTGTGTATCAGCAAGATTCTGCCTATACAGTGAAATGGTTGTCTGTCCTTCTTTCTTTCCTCTTTGCTTATGACATCTGTTTTCATTGCTTCAGTTCTCTGGCTGGATTTCTCTGAAAGGTACTGGTTCTCAGGCAGGTAGGTTATTCATAGTTTCACAGATGCCCCTAGTTAAATGAACTGAAACCTCTCTGAAGAGAGAGCTCACCGACTCCGCCAACTTTGCACACAAACTAATTGCTGGTTTTGGTTAATTGCCCCCTGCCCCAGCTTCTTGAAATCATAGGTTTGCATGGCCATGAGCAACCAAAGCTGGCAAGGAAATACTTTCTAAAAGTGACAATAAGGTGAAAAAAGTATGACTATTAATGTGCAATGTAGCTTTCTAGGTTGAATTTATTGTACAATATGTCTGTCCTATGACGATAGTATGGTAAGTCTTTTTTTGACAAGAGTTATGCATTGACTAATGAAAATCCTTTTTCCTTAGACTTATGTGAAAAGCCAAGATAAACAGTTTGCTGCAGCTACAATTCAGGCTATAGGCAGATGCGCAACTAACATCACTGAAGTGACTGACACATGCCTCAATGGCCTTGTATGTTTGCTGTCCAACAGGGATGGTAAGCTAAAAGTTCTGTTTATTTTCTCAGTAGCTGATGGCCTGAAACCTTTTCTTAATGAGAACCACACAGAGCAGAACATGTTAAAAACCATGTTAGGGTTGACTTTTGTAAGAATTTAGGTGACAAGACTGGATAAAAATAGTGATTCTGGACTTCCAAAGGGTCTTATATTCACTGGGTACATATTTTCTCTTTTGTTAGTGAAATTAATTCCTTGTGGCCTGCCACTACATGTTTACCTATTTTTTTTTTAAATGCTGTACTTATTAAAGTGTGCTGTTTTGATTATCATTGATAGCAGTAGTTTTACTGTTATATGTTTAGTTGCATCAAAGCAGTTAGCCTGTAGAGGGTGCTGAAAGCTTGGAATTTTTTTTTTTTATTGCATCAATGCCTAACTTAAAAAAACCTGTATTAAATACTTTTAGAATAAATAGCCCCAAATTTGGCTTGCTTTTGTAACGTAACTTTCTGTTATTTTTATATAGTGAAACAGAGTTGCAAATCACTAAGGAACACAAGAAGGAGCAGATAAAGTCCTAGGATACAGCACCACTATAAATCAACACCTGATAATACTGTATAATCTTGCTAGTTGCCAATGAATATTGAAGATGATAAGTCAAGTAGAGAACTCGATGATTATATAATGTGCAGTTTGTGTGAATATAGTTAAATATTGTAAATAGAGTTAGGAAATGTATGGTTTAAAAATAATATCAGGAAGGAGGAAAAGCATGTGCTTTTTTGGGGTGCCGTGGAGTAACTAGAATTGTTCAGAGAACGTAGCTGAGATCTTCTCTAAGCTTTGAAAAGCAGCATTAGTGCCTCTCCATATCTACTGGATATAGTTTCATGGTAATCATAAGAAAGCCTTTATTGGAGACATCACCTTGGCAGCACGTAGTCATCCTGTGGCCCACTAATATACTCAGAGCTTTCTCTTACTTGGTTTACGACCTGTGAATCCTCATTCTCAACCCCCTCACCTTGTATCAGAAATTCCTGAGAGGCCTCAGTGCTTTGTAGTTTTAATATATGTAACTTTAATTTCCTAGTGCTCTAGACCTTGTTTACATTTAAGCTTTTCTGATTATCAACCGTGTTTAAAATATCTTCCCGTATTGTGCTGCAAGGCGTGTCTGCACAGCGCATCTTTTTGTATTACATTCAGCAATTACCATAGTAAAAATACAACCTTTAAAGCTTGTTCTTGATTTGCTTAATTCTACTAGCAATCTTCCTCTAAGTGAGAAGGCTCCTTTCAGCATGTACAAATCCCCATTTTACGTCTGCTTTAAATTAAATAATAAAACTGTCACTTCAGAATACCAAGTTTGTTGCTTAATAATCCTTTTTTCTGTTTTCTTGCTTTGTTTTGCTTTTTGCTAAGAAAAAACAAAGATAAGAGGAAAAGGGTTTGTTTTCTTTTATCATAGATTGTCAATTTAATATTTTCTTCAAAGTAATTCTATGTATATACACACACACATGCACGTCCATGTTTACAAAGCTCTGTCTCAACAAGATTAGTTTTCTTATCTGTTTCTAAGTAGTTGTCTAGCAAATAAAATTATCTTCTTGTGCTTACTGTTCTGAAAGACTGCAAAGGATATATTTAGGAATCTTTTAAACCTGGCAGCTGGCAAATTGCTTTACCATAGTTGCAGTGTCTTTATTCCTTCTTTCAAGGAATGAATAGAATGGCATAATTTATGTGGTACCTTTTCCCAGGTGACAGGAAATTACCAATAGTTTCGGCTTACTGAATATACGAGTTTTGGCATGGTAAGGGAACAAAAAGAGATTTAGCCTGTGTAGCAGTCTTAGTTAATCTTACTTTCCCCAAACTTTCAACCTGGAAGTATACAGGCAATCTGTTTGCTGTGCAACTTCTTTCATGGTCATTCGAAGCCTGGAATTAATTCTGCTGCTTTGCATAGCATGAAGCACAAGCGAGTAGATCCAGCAGGTTCTGAGGTCCATGAAAGCAGAGTCAGAGAGGTGACCAGACTAATTCTACCAAACCAAAATAGAATGCCAAAGAACAGGCTTTTGGCTAAACTGCCTTCTAATTCTATGCTCTTGTTCTGGAATGGCCTTAACTGTAGATATAACCCAACACCCGAGATATCTTGGCTATAACTGACACAGGAGCTGTACAGTTCATCATTCTGGAACTTGTGTGCTTAGAGGCAGAGTGTCGTTCCAGAAACGAGGCTCTGGGGAAGGCAAGAGCTGCTCTTGAAATTTTTTTTGCATATTTATGAGTGCTTATTTGAAGTCAGATTTCCCCTACTCAGGAAAGCTGTGAGCTATGGGAAAAAAAAAAACAACAACAACATTTGAACTACAGAAGCACAACAGAAACTAGAAAGTTCAATGATGAGACACTCAAAAAGCTTTGTGAAGAGCTATCCCACCTGGACCTGACTGTCTCCTGAAGACACTGTTCTGTGTGAAGCTATGTTGAAGGCTGAGAGTTATTTTTCTTCCTCATCTGCTGAAGGAAGTACAAAAAGAAAAATTGTTTTGGTTCCTCGATGTGACGTTTGGCATTTGACTATTGCATTTTCCTTAAGCAATTGCTTGATAATTTCAACTGACCGCTGACCGCACTGCGGCATAAAAGTCATTTTAGATGTAAGAGACAGATGGGATTATTGGAAGTCTCTTTTTTCTGTCTGTATATACTATATATAACTATATTCTGCATATAATAGAAATTCTGCAGATTTTTCTTAAATGAGTGACTTTCATTTTCTGTTGAAAGTTGCAGGTTGAATGTAAACACAATTGTAGGATGTATAGCTAAAACTTTATTTTCCCCTATGAATCTATACAAACCCAGGAAAGTTATAAAATCACTGGAACTGTTAATGCATCAGGTAACTACTACATATCTAATGTAATTACTGCTAGAATGACATAAAAGAAAAGCAACTCCTTATAGCATTCAGTTTATATATATTAACGAGGTCTCTGAGTTTTGTTATTTATAAGGATGGAAAAGTTAATCAGATTAAACTTTGTGTCCTTCTGAAAAGCAGAAACTTCAGGTTTGCCTGGATACTTAGTAATTGCCTTTTAACATTGTTTTTAACCATTTGCATAACCTTCTAATAACCCAAATAATTACAGAATTGTTTGGGTATAGAAAGGATCTTTAAAGATTGGCTAGTCCAACTCCCCTGCCATGGGCAGGGATACCTTCCATTAGACCTGGTGGCTCAGAGCTCTGTCTAATCTAACCTTGAATGTTTCCAGGTATTGGGCATCACCACCAGTCTGGGTAACCTATTCCTGGACTGATACTGATGTGACCCTGTAGATAAAATTTACGCTGTTCTGAAATTCTTGTGTTTATTTGCTGTTGTCTTCTACACACTTTTTCTTTGATAGTTCTGGTAAAGTTACATTTTAAAATTTTCTTGCTGCTCATTCAGAATGCCTTTTAGTGTTTTGTTAGAGTTTGTTTTGGTTTTGAACCTATATGCCTGTCTTTTATTTCATGCCCGTTTTGGGGATTCTTCGTGTGCGCAAAGCAAGCCTCCAAGATTCTCTCTGTTTTTTCTGGACTGTGCAAGCCCTTATTCTAAAACAAGCTCATTTTGATTTTGTTGGTACCTTCTTTCCTGGTATTTAGACTTGTGTAAAAGAACCATACTGGTTTATTTGTTCACAGTTCTGGTTTATTTTCTTTAAATTTGCTCCCACAGATTGCATTAAAGTAGTTCCTATTGTGACATTTCATTTAGTGCAGTTCATTTTATCATAATCAGTTCTACATTGTCAACAAGTGTTTTTAGTAATGACTTCAAATCCACTTAGGTTTTTGGGTTCAGTTTTATTTTTCTGAACTGTTCAGTGTATCACAAAATACTTATTGATAAATGTTGTTGTTACAGTGTTCCCCACTATATATATTCCAGATCGTAATTTTCAAGAATTGTCTTCTTATTTTAGTATCTGGCAAAACACAGTTTAAATTAAATTCATCTGTAGGATTACACAAGACCTTGAGATATATGAAACAGACATGTTAACCTTGCTTCAAGGAATTAGTTTAGAAAATGAAAGATGTCATGTCAAATAAAGGATGACACAAAAAGCTGCAAGCTGAAATTTAAGCATTTCATAGGCTTATGGCGTAATGATGCATACTCAGAGCTTTTGAAAAGCCTGTCTCCATAAAGAAGTTCACTTTCTCAAAAAAACAAACAAGCAAACAAGTGCCAAAATTTAGGCATTTCTTCCTTATGCTGTTCTATTGAAACTTGACCATCCTTGATTTCTGAATGAATGGTCCATGTGTCAGGTTAACTCTTGAAATGTAGGAATATCTCTGTTTAACAAATGGTCGTTAGACTTCTTCATCTTTCCTTACAGCAGGAGTTTACTCTTGCACCTTTTACCTGTTGGGTCTTTTTAGCTTTAGATATTTCATACAAGTTGAATAGGCTGTGAGTGTTACTTGTTACAGTAGTTAAGCACTCCAGTGCATGACTTTGGTATGAATCTTACAACAGCTTTCTATTTAGAAGCTTCATTTGAATGTACTAGAGATTAGGTTACAGACCTGAGGGACTGTTTAGAATGTGAAAAAGTGCAAAGGAAATGTTTAATTATTTCTCTAGCATATGAATGATCTGTTGCTTCTAATGTTGAATATTTCTTTGAAAATTCAACGGGTGTTTGTATTTTTAGTTCAGACTGCAAATTTCTTACAAATATGCATAATTTTAATGAAAAACAAATTTTTTTTCACACTGTTCCTTGGTTTGAGAAGGAAAAATACAAAGTGCATCTTTACTAAAAGGCAGTTTCATAAAAAGTATGTAGTAGGATGATATTTTTACATTTAGAATGTTTCTCTGTCCTCTTTTTGCTGCTTATAACTTGATTCAGGAAGCTGAACTTGTGATACTTAGAACAGTTTACCTCTTTGTTACCACGTAAATGGAATTCAGTTCTACAAAGCATGTTTTAAAAGCTTTTACATATTTTACAATCAATTATTTGAGACTTTTCCTTTTGCATAAGTGATTTTAAAAATAATTTGTTTTGTCTGATACAGAAATTGTAGTTGCTGAGAGTGTTGTTGTCATTAAGAAACTGCTGCAAACCCAACCAGCACACCATGGTGAAATTATTAAGCACATGGCCAAACTCTTGGATAACATTACAGTGAGTATTTGTTCACACTGTCTTATTTTCCTTGCTGACAGATAGTGAAATTTTTATGTCCTTTGAATTTGTGCTACAAATGGAAATAAGTATATTAGAGAAATACAACATAGTTTTTAATTTTTAACATAAAATATGGTGTTATGTGATCTTAAAGAAAAGGAAGTAGAAGCTGTCAGGTGGCATCTATTTGTGCCTTAGACCTGGGAAGTGATTTTTTGAAAGAGATCCCTGGAAATGTTGAGTATGTCAACATTTATGAGTATGTTATGCCAAGATGAATAGCAGGTTTAGAATGTGGAGTGCGTAAGTTGCAATGAAAGTAAGGACAAAGAAGCAGCTAACTTGAGGATTATCAGCCAGTTATGTTAGTGATCTGGAGTGGAGTTTAAAAAATTTTATTTTAAACCTTTTTCCCCAAAACACCTGAGCTTTCCATCATATCAGACATGCTGCTGTGAATGTGTCTTGAAGTTGCATTTTTATCTCCTGTGAGATTCTGTGGTATTTAGCAGTAAAATTTGCATTATTTGCTATCATCTGTCTTTAGATTTAATTGACCTTTAGGTATGCAAATAGCTATTGGCCAAATTCTTCACACAGTCCCAGTAATTGGTACAACATTTAGTAGTCTATCCTGAATTAAAATATAGGGCTGATGACCATTAGCTACCTATTACATCATAAACCAAAGGTGACAGATTTTGATCTGTCAATAATTATTTTTGTGAAGAGCCTCTAAATAGGACTGTTTAGTTTCATAAAATTACACATTTATTGATGATGGAGCAATTTCTAAATCAGTGAATCTTCATTTCTCAGTAGCTGAATTTGGAAAACTTTGGAATATGAAAAGAAAAAGGAAGTGGTTCTTGGAAAAAATTGTTGGTTCATGTTACTGACAAATTAAATGAATCTTTGGCTCCTAACAGCTAATGATCAAACTCTTTAACTGATGTAAAGAAAAGAAATTCTACTGAATTGCTCATATAAAAAGAGGATATAAGATAATGCTGCTAATTACATATCAAAATAAGTATTACCTATTTTATAATAATCACCTGTGTTTTCAAAAAAATTGTGCAATATTTTGATTGATTATTACAGTCTCTTAAATAGTGTATGATCTTATTATAGACATCTTCTGTCACTTCACCAAATGAGCTTGTCATCTTATTTCCACGTATTGTGCAGACAAAAGTAGTTATTTTCTAAATATTCCATTTAACACTTAAAAAAGATTTGTAGCTCTTTTATACAATCAAAACTTCCAAGTAAATACTTCAAGTTTTAAATAAAGAGAATATTTTTGGAAAAGAAAATCTTTCTTTAAGTTGAATAAGGAAGGCAGAAAGACATGCTGTACTTGGATTACTTCAGTGTTCTCAGGTTTTCCAGTTGAGGTTGTACAGAATATCAGAAAGTGGTAAGTAGTAGGAGAACAGTCTGTGGAACAGACTTTCATTCCTATTCATAGGAATAAATTAAAAATCAAAATCTGATTCTGAATCATACTACTTTGAGAACAAAGGAGTGATAGTGATGCTGTAGGCTCTCCAAGGTGATTGTTTTATATCTTGTTTGACACTTTTCCATGTATTTTTTAATAACTTCAAGATATATATCTTTCTCAGTATGCTTCAGAATAAATTTCGAAGAAGTTCATATTTATAATTTGAATGCCATATCATTTTTCTGAAATAACCTCCCCCTATTATGTCTGAAAATGAATGTATTCCTTCACAGAATGGTTTGGGTTGAGAGGGACCTGTAAAGGTCATCTAGTCCAAACCCCCATCCCCTTACTTCTGTAAAGGTTGAGCGTATACATTTAGGAAGGAGAATATAATTACTGAGGATGTGAGTTTGAAATGTCAACATTTAATAAAGTATTACTGGAGTTCCTGAGATCTGCACCTGTAATTTAAACATTGCTCTTGGTAAAAGTGGTTGTGACTTGATGTAACACAATTGCCTTGAGATTTGTATGCTGTAAGACACAGACACAAATCGAGGATTCTTGACCATTATAACATTGACATACGGTATATGTACATACATACACACTTGTATACACACTTACTTTGCACAGGGTTTTTTAGTGTTTGGGGTTTTTGGGGGGGGGGTGGTTTTCTGACCTCTTCTGTTGGGTAAAGTATTAGGATTGAAACTTACGGTACCTACCCTATAGCTGTATGCAGGAGTCTTTAAAGGACTCTTGCATTTGGATGTAGGAGAAGCAACCAAATGATATGGTCTTGCATGAACTTGACAGAAACTAGAGAATGGGAGAAAATAACCAAAGAAATTATTTGTTGCTTTTTAGAGTTGAAATTAACTTAATACTAGGTAATACACAGCTGAAAGCATGAACAGAATTAAATACTATTAAGTCAAAAAGCTTTTAAGCAAAAAGTAAACTTTCTGATTGTTCTGTCAGGGTTTAGTTTGGGTAAATGGTAAACAACATCTAAAATAAACGAAATTGGTGTAAACTCAGTAGAATACCTTAATGGATTGGTGCCTGAATTTCTCTCATTGATACTGTTATAAATTTCACTTGTGTTGGCCTGAGATTGTGATTGGCAATGTCGAAGTGCCTAAAAATCTTTCCTAGCAATGTTTCTTTCAGGTCATGTACTTTACTGACATTCTTGTCTTCATCTTGTTTTCATCTACAGAAGTGTAGTGGGTTGACCCTGGCTGGAGACCAGGTACCTACCAAAGCCACTCTATCACTCCCTTCTGCAAATGGACAGGGGAGAGACAATACAATACAGGGTTCATGAGTTAAGAACCAGTAGAGATCACTCACCGATCACTGTCACAGAGAAAACAGACTTGAAGTGGGGATATTAATTGAATTAATTACTAACAGAATCAGTGTGTGATAATGAGAAGTAAAATAAGCTTCTGGAAGCTTCTCACAGAACCACACAAACCCAATACAAGAAACCATTACTGAGCCCTTGTAGACCACTGACTCTCATTTACAGTAAAGATTAAGTCTATGTCATCTTGCCCTTTGATTGATTGTTTCTTACATATTTGAAAAGAGTGATTATTTTTGTTCCTTTGCTTTTGTGTGTTTTTATTTGTGCCTTAAACTTTTATTCCAAGTGTGCCCAGCGAAAGATCTTTGATACCTGTTTTGTGTCTGGTATTTGTACATAAACCCATGCATAGTACAGCACAGTACAGCTGGATCCAGCTACACTCCAGCTTCTTTCCTCCACGCCCTTCAAAAGCTGTAACTGAAAATTGCATGTGTGATGGTGTCCTGAAGATATTAAACAAGAGAATAATTGGATCTCTTTAAAATTCTGTTTTTAAAAATCATAAAAACATTTCCATTTAGCTGTTAATATGTTAATGACATCATCATTGCTTTACAATTTAATGACTTGCTAAGTTGTGGACCAGAGATCTAAGCAATGCTAGTTTGTGCTAGGTGTTCACTCTGTGATAGGCTCATGTGTATAGCTTTTAGAGTGACAGATTAAAAAATACACTTATGGGAAAGGGCCTATTCTTTCCTTGCACTTTCTCTTCTTGCTGTCAGTCTGACATTTCAAATCAACTTTATCCCTCTTTACATTTCTGATTCCAAGTAAAATTTAAAAAAATTGCTAGCTATGCAAATTTTCTTCTGGATGCAGAGAATTATATCTCATTTGCAATTTGAATATCTCCTCATTTTGTGATATGTGGATAATCAGAATTAGTGATTTTAAGCTGTACTTCAGCCTTATGTAGTTTGTGATTAAGTTGAGAGATGAACTACGATAGTTTTTCAATTGTGCTGCTTAAAGCAATCTGTAAAATCTTTATAATAGCTTTCTCTAACTGCTGAAGGTAACCAGTTTTGCTTTGAGGGGAGGGTATGGGTGGTTTTTCTTTTTTATTTTTTAATCATTTATTTATTTTCCTTGAGACGGGTAATGGGTTGAAATGGTAGCAGAAACTGCCTCCTGGTCCTAAAGGCTTAAAAAGTGCACTTAACCACTTGCTCAGGGCATATAGAATAAAACATCAGGCAAAGTAATTTACAATCCTGTTTGCCTTTGAGGATAATGCAGAGCAGGGCTGAATAATGAAAGTATTATTTCCTGCATTTTTGTCAATTCAAGGTCCCTACTTAAGCTGTACTGGAAAAGGCAGTGAAGGTCTAGAAGGGGCTTCATTTCTTGTTTGCTGCTTTGAGTGCCCTGGAAACAACAGCTGCAGGATCATGCACTAGATATTTCGTGGTTGAGAACTGGAAAACTTAAACAGGGAGAAAGAAGTCTGAAAATATTGTGTGATTTTGACCCCAAATGAATCCAGTGACACAGAAACATTGGGTTCATCAGTTCGACATACACTTTTCATTAAAATGGCTTTTGCTCAGGGTTTGATTCGAAAAGTCTCTAATTGATATTGATTCTTGTGGCACAAAATTGTGTTTAATATATATACGGTATTTACATAGTAAGGTAACCACCTTGTTAAAAAGCAGAGTCTCATGAGAAATTTCATCTGTCTTCCATTGTCACTATTTTTCAAATTAGACTTTGTTTAGTCTTTTTATTTAACAGTCTAAAACTAGTTTATTACTCTGATAATTACATTTTGCAAACTGGGAAAAAACTTGAAGGAGTAATACACTTTGCTTAAATGCACACTATTTAAATATATTTAAATATATTTAATTGTGGTTTTAAAGTGTAGTCCTGAGTTTGACTAGGAAAAGTACAATAGGGATGTTAGTGTTTCATAATTAATGATGTTCCTAAAATTGGTCTGCACTGTGAGCTATTTTTGCTTTCTAAAAAGATAGTAATAGGAAAAGGGATGTTTCTAATAGGCTGCCGTCTGAACTATGGTACTTGTAGAATTCTAGTATTTTAACAAGTCTGTAATGAAATATTTTAGAAAAATAAATCTGCCATAACTGAAGTCTGAAGTTGCCTATACATTCTTATTTAGAGGTATCTATCTGTACAGCAGGCAACTTGAACTGCTCCAATACTGGAAAATTTAATGTACCACTCAATTACTATTCTTTAGCCCAATTTAAAATAATAGATTAGGTGTAAGGTCTTAATGCAGTGTAACCTTTGGAACATTAGAAATAACCTCTTTCCCTTCTGAAATCGGTGTACAGTAATGGCATCAGTCTTACCGTTTTGCAGACGAACATACTCTAACTGCATTTAACGTTCTTATATGTAGCAGTTGTTTGCCTCTCTTGTGCTGTGAATTCCAAGACTATTTAATTTTTTTGTCAATTCACATTAAAAAAATAATTACAGTGAAACTGTCAAGTAGCTCCAAGTAAGACCTGTAAGAACCAAGTAAGAACTTTCTGATCAGAGTGTTTTCAATTAAGGTGGTAGATCCTATTCAGAAATTGAGAATTGTAGTTTTGAACTCCTGTCTCACCAAAATTCTATGTTAGCTTGTCTTGGACATTTGCAAAAATATGAATCTTACTGTCATAAAATTTGGAATAAAAATGAAGGAAAGATAGCAATAGTGTTAAAGAAATCCATGTGCTTTTAAACTAGATAGACAGGATTTGAGAAAGGTGTATAGTTGGAAGCAATTTCTGTATGAATATAGTAATATAGAAAACCCTGGCTTGTTTCAACATGATGTGCAGTGTAACCTGGTGGCAAGGATTCACAACCACACCTCAGAGGCTTGGATTGTGTTCCCAGTTGCCATCACCTTATACTGTGAACATGAACATGTTGCTTCTGTGTGCCTCTGTGTCCAAGCCTCATCTCTTTGTCTCATCAACTTGTAACACGTGGTTTTTGGGGCAAAATCACTGTCTTATAATTGTACGAATATTCTGCCTAACACAGTGGCCATATTGAACAGTTTTTAATTTCACTCTGCATTTCTCGCATGGCAGTTGTCTTTAAATAGTATTTTGTGTAACTTGTTATTGAACACAGACACATACAAGTATGCAAGTAGTCTGTGAATGTATTAATTTAAAATTCTCAATGTTTTTTCAGGTTCCAGTAGCCAGAGCCAGCATTCTGTGGCTCATTGGCGAGTACTGTGAGCGGGTTCCAAAGATCGCACCTGATGTTTTGAGAAAGACAGCCAAGAGTTTCACTAATGAAGACGACCTTGTGAAGTTGCAGATCTTAAACTTGAGTGCAAAACTGTATTTAACAAACTCAAAGCAGGTAAGCCTAAACTCAGAACTGTATGTATTAGAGTCATGGTAGGTTTTGTACAGTTTATGTAGATAAGTAGTGATTTCTTCTGTATACGTAACCAAAACTAGTCCATATTTTTGTATGAAGAAAAGCTTAACATCAGTTTTCAAGAAATCTAACAGACTAAATCTAACCATGAGTCTTTAAGTATGCTGGATCATAAATGTGATTTTTTGTTTCTTTTTTTCCTTGGGAAACTCAATTTTTCAATTCACATTAATGGGGAAGATTTGTAAATTGTATTAGTAATATCAGAGAGGAGATTTTCTGGATATGATTTGCTGTTTTCTGAAACTAAGACCAGAATTGTCAAGGAAATACTGTCATTTTGATAAGAAGCTGCTCATTTTTTTTATTCAGGATATCTAAAAGGAGATGCCAGTAAAAGGCCTTGTTTTGTTTTTCCATCAGTGCTTGTTTTAAAGATAGTTACTGCGTTCCCTTTTTCTATTTTTTAATATGTTTGTTTGTTTACTATTTCATTTTACTTAGTGGAGAAGGTTGGCTTTTGATATCTCTAGTAGTAAAGATAATCTAAAAATGTCAGATAGTACAAAATGGTCAACTTAGATCTCCAGGCAGCTGAATAATGGCTGTGAGAGGTGCCAGCTGCCTCATTCTTCTCAGTGACAACACTGTGAACTCCATCACTCTCTGGCTGTGGAATATAGTATTTTGACACTAATTTGTCACTGTAATTCCAATTACTGCTTTAAAAGGTTCTAAAATCAAAGATTTCTTTTTTCCACGTGTAGAAGAAATATATTGTCTGAGATTTATACACTTTTCTGGGCTGCTAGACCTCTTTGTTTTACAACAGTTTGCACAGCACCCCATCTTGCATCTTCTCAGCTGTGGTGTCTTCTTGTTCCTTGATAGCTATATCCAACTACAGATGTGATCTGAGGCTTTATTTTGTAGGGTGTGTGTAAGATGAACTGTCTCACCATGCACTCAGATAGGAATGAGTGCTTTGCTTATACAGTGTAAAATGGGGCAGTAACAAAATACTTCTTTCAGTCATTGCTCATCCTGCTGAAAATGCTGACTGAGATAAGGAAAGATTGGTTAGACTATCAAAACTGTCTTCTTTTAGCTCATTACATAATATTTAATAATTTTCCATATAGTTTTTTAATTTTCCGTGTAAATTTTTCCACACCATATTTGGTGAAAAATCCATCGCCTACAAGGAGATGATGATTTCCATGATGGTTTTTTTCCAGTTTCACATCTTAATACATTTTAAACCATATATATGTTGCATAACCCTTCATTCAAATAAAATACCACAGACATAGTGTTTGTTCTCAGACAACTGCAAGAGAAGTGTAGGGAACAGAACAAAGGTCTTTATGTAACCTTTGTTGACTTCACCAAAGCTTTCAATACTGTGAGCAGGAAAGGTCTATGGCAGATTTTGGAACGCTTAGGTTGTCCCCCCCAAGTTCCTTAAAATGATCATCTCACTCCATGAGGATCAACATGGCCAAGTCAGATATGGCAATGCACTTTCTGAACCCTTTCTAATAACCAATGGTGTGAAACAAGGCTGCGTTCTCGCACCAACCCTATTCACAGTCTTTTTCAGCATGATGCTCCAAAGGGCCACAGCAGACCTCGATGATCAGGACGGTATCTACATTCGATACCGTACTGATGGAAGTCTATTCAACCTAAGGCGACTGAAGGCCCACACTAAGACCTTAAATCATCTTGTCCGGGAGCTGCTCTATGCTGATGACGCCGCCCTTGTTGCCCACACAGAAGCAGCCCTGCAGCATTTAACATCCTGCTTTGCAGATGCTGCTGAGCTCTTTGGGCTGGAAGTCAGCTTAAAGAAGACAGAGGTCCTCCATCAACCTGCACCTCAGGAAGTCCCCCATCATCCTCACATCACCATTGGCCAATCAGAGCTCAAATCAGTCCAGCAGTTTAATTACCTAGGTAGCCTCATCTCCTCGGATGGTAAGATTGACGGAGAGATAGACAACAGGTTAGCAAAGGCATAGAGTGCTTTTGGAAAGCTTCATAAAAGAGTTTGACGAAATAAACACTTGAAGAAAAGTACAAAGATCAGTGTTTACAGAGCCATAGTGCTGTCTACTCTCTTATAAGGATCTGAATCATGGTCATCTACTGCCACCACCTGTGACTCCTAGAACGCTTCCATCAATGCTGTCTCCACACAATCCTAAACATCCACTGGTCAGATTATGTGACCAATACATCTGTTCTAGAACAAGCAGCAGTCAGAAGTATTGAGGCCATGTTACTGAGAACACAGCTGCGTTGGGCAGGGCACATCTCAAGGATGAAGGACCACCACCTCCCTAAGATCTTGCTTTATGGTGAACTTGCCACCGGCTGCTGCATGAGAGGAGCCCCAAAGAGAAGATACAAGGACTCCCTGAAACGTCTCAACCTTGGCCATATTGATCATCATAACTGGTCTACTCTGACCTCCAGCTGGGAGGCCTGGAGACACACCATCTATAACACTGCTGATGCCTTTGAGAACGCACGCAGGATCACCCTTGAGGAGAAAAGACAACACAGAAACAATCGTGCCTTGCATAATTTACCACCTAAGGAGTCTTTCTGCTGTGCCTTTTGCAATTGGACATGCCTGTCTCATATTGGCCTTTTTAGCCACCAGCGCGCTTGCGACAAACATGGGTAGAGACCTTTCCCAAATCTTCATTCACAAAACCCAGCCATGACTGACTGACTGACGTGTTGCATAATCCTTTATTCAAATATAGTAATGATGATAAAGCAGAAGAAACTGTCTCCCAAGATGCCTACTGAATGACGATTTTCATCAAAAAGTTTTAGGTTGTGGAAAAATAATATCTCAGGTGGTCAAGGTATTTGTATAAAAATTCTAACAGTGTAGGTTGGTGACTCATCTTGATTCAAAGCTCCTTTTAAACTAGAATACCATGAGTTTCCCTTAAGAAGCTGGCAACACTCTTCCTAAATCTACATCCTTATTCCCAGGAGTAATGCTTCTCTACTCACTCAGTATAACAAAGTTGCTTTCTGGAATTACTTCTAAAAAGTAAAGTTTCTAAAAAATGTCCTGCCTTTTTTCACTCCAGTTTTTAGAACTTGACGTCAAATCTTTTACACATGATTGCTCAGTTACTGGTCTGCCTGTCTCTGCTCAGCCTGTGTTTTCTGCCTTTATATTATATCCTACCATATTTTACTTCTACGAATACATTCAGAGTTAATGGAGTTGTGAAAATCTCAAAGCTACAATGTCACTTTATTGAAAAGTAGTGGTAGAATAGCAAAGAGACAACAACCAACAGATGAAAAGAGCTCTTTCCTCAGGTGAGGGAAAGGCAGATTGAACTCATTTGTGAAGCCTTGTTTGGAGAAAAGCGTGGAGTTCGGGAGGAAATAAAACTTGGTTATTTTATTCCCTTTCTCCAAATCTATTATTTTATTTGCTTGTGGTTTTCTTAGTCATATGTTCAAACACCTAGTGCAGCACATTTACAGGAATGCTTTTTAATATTCAGCATTTTTATAATAATTTCCAGTATACTTTAAATCCTGTGATCACCCCATGAACTTTCAAAGGCTGTTTATAATTTAAGGAAGAGTTTCAGGTTCAATCCTATCTGTATAAATATGTAATAAAAGCAGGCTTTCCTCTGGGTGTCTGTATTATTTGGTAAACTTGCCTCATCTTTTCAACACTTAGGGTCATAAAATCCTTATGAGTGTGCTAGATAGCTGTCTAAAGGGAGCTCATATAAGAGAAAGTGTTACCCAGAAAATATGCCATCTAGTTGCCTTGGATGTTTCTTGCCTATAGCAGGAAGAATAAAGAGATTTTGATGGGTTTCTGTTGCCTAATACAGTAGGACTCTCACCAGAGAAAGTCCCAAGTAGTTCTAGGGTGTAAATAGATATGTCAGTCGTAGTTAAGCACAATACCCTTATCTTTTGTGCCTGAAGAATCAAGTTACTGCAAGCTAATGATGTCAAAGAGTAGCTAGATAACTGTTTTCTCACTTTGCAAAGCCTCATCTGTTGGTAATATTTCTATTACAAAATTTTCAAGTGGGAATCTACCAAAAGATTAATTGCTGCTAATGTAGGATAGGCAATAAATTCTTAAATAGAACTGTTGTCGCTAGAAAATTCTAGAAATGTTGCTGAAGGATGACTTGAATGAATGCTTTTCACACTAGCCAAACCAAAATGTACAAAAAATAGCCTGAAGAATCAAGTTACTGCAAGCTAATGATGTCAAAGAGTAGCTAGATAACTGTTTTCTCACTTTGCAAAGCCTCATCTGTTGGTAATATTTCTATTACAAAATTTTCAAGTGGGAATCTACCAAAAGATTAATTGCTGCTAATGTAGGATAGGCAATAAATTCTTAAATAGAACTGTTGTCGCTAGAAAATTCTAGAAATGTTGCTGAAGGATGACTTGAATGAATGCTTTTCACACTAGCCAAACCAAAATGTACAAAAAATAGCAATGGGTTCTAACAGTGTGGAGATAAAAAAAAAAAATTCCCATATAGTATTATATATGTTCAGATAACAGCCAATATTGGCATATGATAATAAATTTATTAGCTCATGGATCAGAATACTTTGTCACTATTCTAAGAAGCAGTCATGGTGTGCAGATTCTGCCATATTTCACCAAATTAGCATGCTTGCTCAAATGATTTTCAACTTATTATGGAAATTCCTTTGTTGGAGAGACTGATGTATATTCCTTAGTTTATTTTTCGTTTTTAATTTAGAATATTTTTTTATTAACTACTTGCATGTAGTAAAGGTCTTCTACTTGTTTGGTTGCATTGCTGTAAGAAAAATTTAAAAAATTTTCGTGTTTCCTTGCTGTTTTCATGAAAACTATACTAGATGTGAAGCTTGCAAAGAGACTTCCTGAAGATACAGAACATTCTTCCGTGTAAATTTATTGTGTATTTATCTGTATTGGACAGTACAGGAAAGGTGTCTTAGGGGACAGGAAAGGCAAAGGATCACGGAGAAAATGATTCCATTAAAGGAAATGCAGTCTTTCAGGATCAACTCTTTATCTGTCTAATTTGTCTTTTTCTAATTCCGTCAACACTCACTGAGAAAATGCCCACCATGAAAACAAGGCCCTAAACTTTTCCCATCCCTATAGCAATTCCCAGGCTAAGACCACTGTGTTTTATGATCCGTTCTGCTGACCTTTCTACCACATCAAGGAGTCTTGTCTTGTTTTACAGAGAAGTGATGGCAAAAAGTGCAGGAGGTATCCCTCATTTAGTTTAATTCATGCTACCTGGGAACCCTCCCTTCCAATTCCATTTCGACTGAACAGCATAAGTCCTGCGTGAGTGCAGATTATGTATACTCTGTTTGATGCAGTTGTTTAAAATTTTATACCCTCATACAGAAATAGCTGCCAATAAGCTGTGAAATACATGTGCGAAAGTTTTACCTTTCCCAGAGCTAAAACAGTACCTTGGGGGGGAAAAATATGTTCTCACAGAACCGTTCTTGGGTGTCAGAGAGAAAAAAGAAACAAAAAATATTTCACTGAAAGGTTTTTTTGACTATGCTTTTACTATTACTCTAATATAAATGACTAACTTCTTCAAATCTTTGTTGCCATTGATTATTTTGTGAAATGCTTGCATATATTGCTTTGTATGTGGTTAAAATTAAAACCAGTTTTTGTTTACTGTGTATTTCACCTACAGGAGTTAATCATTATTCTGAAAAAGTATTTTTACATCTCTAGAAAAAAACCCTGTAACTTGCATACTCGAGTTGGAAGTTATTAAATGGAACTTTTTTTAGCAAATTACCTACAACAAAAATTTTTTTTATATGTATTTTTTCTTCTCACATGATTGAAACTATGTTATTGTTGTAGCAATTGTATGATAAACAACATATATATGAAAACTTGTTTTCTTTTCTATAAAGAAAATAAATCCTTCATGATGATACATTTTTAACCCTGTGTTATGCATCCATTCTGAGTTGAAATACCAAAATTCACTTCCTTAGGATGGTATATTGTTTCTGTTCTTTTTCCTGTTTGCTTTTATATAAAGGAAGTGACCTACTTTTTTCAAATGTATTGAATGGATGCAAGTCAATTCAGCACTATTGTTCTGGTTACACTACATTATTTCTAAGATACTGGGAAGTTTCCCTCCATTTTTATATTATTTTATTATCTTAAAAATTAACTGAATTATTAGAATTACTAAAGACATGTTAGTATTCTGAGACATGAAATTAGGAAGCCCTATTATGCTGTAAAAACCTGTGATAGTATAAGTTGCTCTCTTACATAAATAAATAAATGACCGATATTACTGGAGGCTTTAAGCTTCAAGAAAAAAAATGGAAGAAGTCTTTCATCCTGGTTTTTAGAGGGCATCAGCAGCTTGCTTTTATGAAAAAGTAACAGCTAAATGCACTGCAAATAATTTGCAGTAATCCAGTTCAGTGATTCATGTGTCTGCTTTAATGGGTCATAATTCAGGATAAAGTAACTGAGTGCAGTCAGAGTGCAGACACTGCTTATGCCAGGGACAGTATCTCTTCATAAAACACACCTCAGCAGAAGCAGTTTGCCAGCCCCCTAATACCCTCTGATGTTTTGATGTCCTGCATATTTTTCCGATTAAGTTTTGAGTGCCATGTTTTTAGTTGTATTTCCACATTCATTATCCTCACGTAGACCCTTCAGCGGGTTTGCCATATATGATTATTTTTTTAATGATGCCTTTCTTTCCACTTCAGCAGTTTAATAATCTAGCACATGGCTGCTTCTCAGTACTCAGCATTCACCTCCCCAGTACAGAAGAGGACATGTGCTTTGGCTGCAGAATTCCATTTGCAGCTTTAGAAATGCATATTCCCTATGGAGCAACATTTGTTTGACATAACCATTCATTTTTATTACCTCTTTAAATATGTTTATCCAGAGTTATCAATAATCATAAATAACTTGGATTCTGTTCTTGTCCTGGTTTTTTCCACAGACAAAATTGCTTACCCAGTATGTATTAAATCTCGGCAAGTATGATCAAAGCTACGACATCAGAGACCGTACAAGATTTATTAGGCAGCTTATTGTTCCGAATGAGAAGAGTGGAGCTTTAAGCAAATACGCCAAAAAAATATTTCTGGCACAGAAACCTGCCCCATTGCTTGAATCTCCTTTTAAAGGTATAACTGCCAAAACCATTTGGTAAATGTTCACTGTGTAAAGGAATGTAGCAGCTTATTCTATGTCAAATACTCTCACAAATTGTGTCACTTAGCAAATAGAAAAGATTAATATGCAAGGATACTCAGTCTACTTACTTGCTTTTCAGCAAGCAGGATTTGCATGATGCAAACACAGTGCATTTTTTTTATGATAAACCCTGACAAACTGATGCATTTTTATTCATGTGGATTTTAAATTTGATTTAAATAACAGAAGGTGTGTCTTTTGAGGAACACTATTCTTCAATTTAGGAGAATTTATCTGGACTTCATTAGAAGGTTCTAAATGTGAGTGTTGCACATGTTTTATGAACCTGAAATAAATTGAATCTCAGTAGATTAGGTTTTTATTATTTTTCTCCAAAATCGTAATTTTTCCTGTGCATTTTTCCTGTCTTTTTACAAGTAAGATCCATTGTCTCTCTTCTCAAATTAAAAGGTTATCAGGTTATCTGAACTAAACATACTCTGTTACTGTGACAATTTACAATTTTTCTTTTCATACTTACTTAGGTCTAGTTTTGAAGCTCTAAAAGGAGCTCCATTTTGAAGAAAAACTATTAAAATTCTGGATGTGTTTGTGCCAAGACATGTATATGGATTGTTTAACTGTGCTGTCATTCTTAATATTCACAGTAAAGTAATTTTTAGAGAAGCTACATTTCAGAGCAACACCTCTAAACACACTGACTGATTAGCTTTTTTATTGACCATTATGGGGGAGATTATTGTAATCTATGGACTGAAATCAGTTTTTTGACCTATGAAGAGCTTCCTAGTTTATATTTATTCCATGACATTTGAGGTAATACAATGGCAATTACCTTTAGCCCTGATTAAGATTGCTCTTTGTGGTAGAGCTCACGGTGTTTGTGTATTTCTCCTTTCCCCTCCCCCCTCATTTTTTTAATAGATCGGGATCACTTCCAGCTTGGCACCTTGTCTCACACACTGAACAGCCAAGCCATTGGCTACCTGGAACTGTCTGACTGGCCAGAGGTGGCGCCTGACGCTTCTGTCCGAAATGTCGACGTGGTCGAGTCGGTACGTCAGCATCATTAAAAGTAACTTTGCTGAAGGCACTTGTCAATATAGTGTATTAGCCCAAAATACAAGTATTTAAATGCTGTCTGTGTGCTGTACTGAAAACCATTGATTCATGGGAACATCTGTGTTGGGTTTTTTTTTATCTTAGAAATGGAACATTTGGAAGCTTGCACAGTGCTTGCTCTTTTCAGTGAGAGAAGTGGATCAACTGTGGGCCACTTCTGCTTCACTTGTGGATTAAAAGGGCTTTTTTCACCTCCATCTCACTTCTGATCTCATATTTTTTATATTCTATATACTCAACTGCAGTATGTTAATTGAGTGTAGGTGGACTACCAAACTAGGAGATAAGTGGAAGTTAATTTGTGTACAAATCCAAGGCTAAACAAAAAAAAAGGTAATACAAACAAAAGGCAGTAGCAGGGGGTTACATTATATGTATTTTGAAGTGTAAAGTTTGGATGAGACCAAGGTTTACATTTAGGATAACCTGGAGAGAATTAAGAAAGTTTATAATACCGAAATGTCGTCTATTAGTGCACTAGTCATGTGTTGACATATAGGGCTGGTCCTCTACGGTTCTTTGTGACTGTAGTGTAAACTCTGAGGCAAAGTTGTGTTTTGGTACCAGAGCTGTGATTTATATGTCAGGTATCAGAGTCCTACTAAAATGCTGGTGAAGGTTGTTGAACAGTAACAAAAATGTAAATGTACTGGTATATGCTGTGCTGATGGTGCTCCTGGATACGCAGAAAAGCACACAGTCCTTGTAATGAGCCAACTTCTGTAGTAAATTGTGGATGATTAATTTGCATAGATGATGTTAGGCATAGAATGGGTAGAGGAGATTCTAAAACGTAAGTGTGACTTGCAGAAGCCAATGGACAGCAGTGTGGTAGAACAACCATTTCTCCTTAGTACTGTGATACTACGTCTGCCTTCTTATATAGATTTCAGGAAAAGACATATTTGTGTACAAACTTCTGAAAGTTTTTATGGGAAGAATCTAAAGGTAATCAGCTCAAACAGAGGATTATAAATTGTAGGGTTGGCATGAAAGAATGTCTGAAGGTGCCTTTGTCCATAAAACTAAAAAGCATTGCAGGAAATTGATCAAATGGAGTAATCCATCTACAACATAGTGGAAAACATCTACCTCCAGCTATTTAAACCTCAAAACAAATGGGAAAGTCCTTCAGCCATGGGATTTTTTTGTAAGTATTTTCTTTGGAGGGTATTTCGTTGTCATTAACTTTGTTGTGGTTCTAATACTGCATCTGCCTACACAACATGTGTGAGGGAAACTGAGTTAAGCTGCAGTGCATAATTAAATTGTCATTTATATCCAAAAGAATAGTGGCTTTTTAAGTGTCAGCTGATTTTGGTGTTCAACAGGAAACCAGTGTGTCTCTAGAGCTGTACACCCTTGCAGGTGATAGTTAGAGCTATTCAGAAGTTAGTCTTGTTCCAGATCAGAGCAGTCACTGAGGCAGACCTGTATCACTCTGTTAATATAGTTGGCGGCCATTTTGGTTTTTTCCCTGTCCTGAGTTATTCCTTTGTTTCTCTAGTATAGAGGTATATGGAAAGAAAAAAGGTCTGGGCAAAGTATTGCCACATTTTGGCATTCTCTTGGTTGTAAGAATTACTTTTATTTGGGGAATTGCAATGGAAGTGAAATATAATTCCTCTGTGGCTACCTACGGAGTCCACATTCTGTTTTCCACTTAAAACTTGGGATGATAAAGATGGTGACTAGCCCTATTTACCCGTAATTCTAGTCATAGTCAGCTGGATCTAGAGATAAAACTCTCAGACTTCGTGTTCTTTTGGCATAGAAATTAATTTATTGTTACTGATGCTTTTAATCTGCCTTAGTAAATCTTTTTCTAGACTCTCTAATAGACATATCTCACCTTTTGTAGGTATGTACAAAACTTCTAGTTCTCCTAATTGTGGAAAATAAGAGAAGTTTAATAATTTCTCTTCACTTGCTTAGATGATTTATTTAGAAACTGCTCAATACTACTACTGTGAGTGTTATGCTTTGATATGTGTATATATTTGTATTGCTGATTGCAAAAGTAAATGTAAATTGAAATTTATTTACAGGCAAAGGAATGGACTGGAATTCTAGGTAAGCCAAAGAAGGAGAAACCTACTGAAAAGTTCTACTCTGAATCAGAAGAGGAAGAAGATGAGTCTGCCAGTACGAGTTCATCAGGTAAGTGTTTGGATCTCCACTGCCTGGAGAACTGTATCTTCAGAACTGGCTGATACATTAAAAAAAATGGAAAAAATGCCAAAAAAAGCCAGAGCTATGTGTAAAGTCAGGAAATGAGGGGAAAAATTTTACATTCACTGCATGAGTTGGCCTTTGCTTTGTTTCCTAGTTAAAAAAGCTAGCATGCTATTTTCATCCTGCTTTGACTCAAATGTAAGTAGTAAGAGTCTGTAACTCCAGTTAAAACTGAAGGCACCTAGCTCTTTGCAGGAAGAGTGCCCATGTGCTTGTCTTTAATGTTTTTTTGAATCTGTTGGTGGTGAAGTCCTGTTTTGATAGCTTGTGCTGCTGTGTTGTTAAATGACCAGACTTCTGTAATTGTGTAGTCTTTTTGTGGGATTTATTCAGCAAACTGTTTCAGTATTTCTCTCAAATTCTACATAACGTTTTCTGTTTATTTTAATGGGGATGATGAGGAGCTGCTTATCAATTTCAGTTAGCAAAGGTTCTTTTAACCCCTAACTTTTAACCCACTTATTGCTAGATCAGCAGTTCCCCAAGGCAGACATTTCAGAAGATGTTAATATACTTCAGATGTAGTGAAGATTGTAATTCTCTCAAGTCCAGACCTTAGACATAGAAAATGTTTAACATTAGAGACATAAAAGAATTATCGGCATCTAGTTGAATGGAAGAGGGGCACCTTAAAATCTGAATATGGAGCTGCTTCCTTCCTATTCTTAAACTAAGGAAATATGTAGAAGCATTTAAGAACTATATCACTGAAATTAAAGATTTCTGAAGCAATAAAAGTATATATTCACTTCAGATATTTGAATATTTGGTAACTGTATGATTAATTAGAGGATGAATAATTTGTTTAAAACAGTGATTCAATCATAGTCACTATGGGTATTCAAGAACAGATTATCTAATTAACCAGTTGTTTGAAAAGATTTTGCAGCTAAGTGAATGTATAGATTAGAAAATTTGAGGTCACCTCCAGCTCCTAATGGGGTTATGTAACTTTGAAAAATCCACATGCAATTAATTTATTATTAGACTTTTTAATTTGATAAAGTATATAATACTGTAGGCTGAAGAGGGCAGATCTTTAACAAAATGTTGCGAATGTAAGGGGAAAGTGATTTTCTTGCCTGTTTTTGACACAGGGTAAATAATGATAAAGCTTACAATTGGATTTTAAAATACTAAACCATTGTTTAATTTAAAACAAACTTGGATACCTAAAATAGTATTTATTTAAGATATTGAGACTGAAATTTTAAGGGTTGTTTGTATTTCAGGGAGTGAGTCTGACAGTGAAAGCGAGAAGGAAGATAAAGAGGAAGGCAGCACTGATGAGACTAGTGGGAGTTCCTCTCCCAGTGAAGAATCAACTGACAGTGATTCAGACAGCAAAGAAAGTACAGTAAAGAAAACATCTAGAGCTGCCAATGAAAGGTAGGTATACATTTGTATGGGTTTTATTTTTGTGATACTAGCTGTTAAAGCACTCTTCATGTAAGCAGTCTGCCAAGCCTTTAATTATGTTTTTTTGGGGCTGTTTTGGCCAAGGAGTGATGCCAGTGTATGTGAGTAATAGTCAGTGTATGAACTGGGTTCATATTTTTGTTAATCAGACTATTCTTATGTTTGGAATTAATTTCTGACTTCAGTAGAATCTTGGGTGGCTTTTTGAAAATTGAGGTAACCTTGGGAGGCTGAATCAGTGATCAAACAGTTGCGTGAAACACTTAATTACCTTTCGCAGCAATTTTGCTGAGAGCTAAAATTAAGTCCTTCAACACTTTGCCATTATATAACTAAGACAATTGATTTTTCTAAATAATGTTATATTAAAAAGATTATGATCCAAATATTAGAGGCAAGGGCTGTGAAGGGAAACGGTCATAAGATATTTAAGTGTTAGTGCTTTTTAAGATTGCCTATTATCAACAGCATTATCATGTATTAAAGTATCATTAAAATTTTGAGTAATTGGGGCTAATACCTTGGATTGTATGAATCTGTTTCTTCCACTGCTGTCAGCAAGTGGCCTCTGCAGACACGATCGCCCTTTACTCTGTAGTCTGCTGCCAGCTCACTTGATGAGTTTGCAGCTCAGCTCAGTCGTGGCTGACAGCGCTGATTGGGGCACAGTACACACTCTGCTCCTTTTATTACAGACAGTAATTAAAGCAGCTCGCCTTGCCACTTCCATAACAAACACAGCATAATGCCCTAATTATGACTTTATTAATTTAAGTCAGGATTTAATGATTTTAAAAGTGATTTATATTGTTTTTCCTGTTCAGAACAAATGAAATCTGTAGGTTAAATTAATACAGGCTTTTCATCATCGCAAAGTTAAAAAGCTAGTTACCAGTAAATTCTTTTCATTAGAATAACATCTGAAATTTTAAGCAGTAAGATAAACAATGATTACCCATCAAAACTGGTTGATGTGCAGTAAAGTAACATTTTTAATCTTCAAATCTAGTTTTAAAGCTAAGATAAATTGTTGAAAAATAACTTCATTTGTATAATGAGTTCAGAACAACTTATTTGTTGATGCAACTACAACTTCTGTTCAATGGCAGTGAAAGAAATGTAGATAATTTTGTCAGTACCAGTCATGAAGAAACTTTGAACACTATATGCTAGTGAGTTTTTGTTTAGTTCATTGACCTTAAACAAGTTTTTAAATGTTGTCATATTGAAACATAATTTTTTGATAGAACCAATTTTTCACTGTGATTTTAACAATCAGATTTGCTCCATTAGACTGTTTTTGTGAAGTGTACCATTGCTCCATTTTTAGCTTTGCAAGCTTAAAATTTGTTGCTTTCAGAAAAGAATGCTTTTGACTAAAATATCGAGAGTTGATTTCAACTTCAGTTATATGTGTAGGCATTATTAGCATGGTCTAAATATTTATCTTGATTTTCAATAATTTTGATTAAATTTGATTTAGGCAATTCAGTCCTGGGAAGTTCTTGGGAGGAGGAAGACTTTACCCTAATTATTTTGCTTTCTGTTGTGTTACATTTTTCAGTTCTCCTTCTTTGCATTTTTTTCTTATAAAAATATTGAAATCTCAAACAGTAATGCAGCATAGTACATTATTTTGTACTGCTCCTAAAGCTAAGCAAAAATGTATAACAATTTAATTTGAGTCCAGAGGGATTCTTAATAATTGAGTGGTCTGGATTTGTTTAATTACTGTTGACCTTGTTACCCTTCAAGCACTTCAGTAACCAATTTATTGTCTTGGGAAGGAAGCTTAAACAGGTAGTGTATGAAACACCTGATTTGAAAGTATAAAATGTTTGCTTGCAAATCCAAGAACAGAGGGGGTTTCTTTGTATGCAGTATTAGTTTTTCTGCTCCATGATAACTATTAGAAAATAATCTTAATTTCCTGTGGTATTTCTAGGTAGTAACTCCCCCTGAGACAAAAAGGTAATCTACCAATTGGTAGTTAGAGTATGATTAGACGCAAACAAGCCAGATAATATTCAGTAGCTGTTAGCACAGAGCAACATAACTCAACATGGCCAGGGTGAATGGAACTTTACTGTGTGAAGAATAGTTTCCAAAGTCCATTATCTGTAAGGTATTCAATGTGACCAAGGTTATCAGAAGATAACAGCTCTTGGTATAAACTCTTTAGTGAGTTGAAATATTTGTAGACACTGTAGGTATTATTTGTAGATGGTATGGTTTGATTTAGAAGAATTAACAAAGGAATAAACTAAATGTATTGATTTTCTTTTAAACAATATTAATTTACAAAAACTTAACACCTCATTCTGTTAATCATAAGTGGAATAATATGAAAGTGTCTTTGTATATATATTTCTGCACTTCTTTCTGCAGTGTTGCAAGCTGGATGCATGCAAATTGTTAATATTTAATGTGTTCACATTTTGTTTGGCTGTTTTGCTGGTTCAGATTATATGTGATGTTGTGTAGCTTGATAGAACAATTTTGAGTACCCTTAAAAAAGTGACTGCTTCATTCATAACTGAGTTTTTTATCGTGAAGCAATACTGACTTAAAACTCATTTAATAAAACTTTGAAATGTTGATGTAGGATATTGCCTAAAAAGATTTCTTTTGTGATTTTACATGTCTCTTAATATTTTTTTAATTATATAGTGATTCAGAAGATATTAAAAAGAAGGCAGAGGGAATCTCCAAGAAGAGAAGCACATCCAGTTCCTCTGATACAGAGTCCTCTTCATCAGAAGAAAGTTCTTCAGGCTCCAAATCAGAATCAGACTCTAAAAGTGACTCTGAGCCTGGAAAACCTAGAAATGCTACCTCTAGTAAGGTTAGTAAGGTAAAATATATTTTTTAAAAACCTCTATGAAATATTAAAACATTAACTGTCTATACATGTTTTTTTCTGTGGGAATGGAGATAAGTAGTCATTTTATGCATATCAAAAACCCCCAGAAATCATGAAAAAAAATTTTCGACTTTTCATAAAAAGACCAATCCCAAGGTAGTTTTATAGTTAAATCCAGTAAGCGTATTTTTATAATAAAAAGCATATTTCTGTTTAAATTCCATTATATTTTTACTCCAGATAGATGAAGAAGAAAATAGAATCTAATTATTTTTTATAGACAGAATGTAATATTTTTTCTAATAGTCTATTATTCTTATGTAATAGAATTTAATTATTTTTAATCTATTTTTAGGTTACTATTAAGCTGGTGAAAGCTTAGTACGTAGGTGTTAATGACTGTTTTATTAAAATGGAATCTTACAGTATAATTACTGCTGGACCTGGGTCTGATAGAAAAGAAAACTGAGAAACAAGTGTTAGTACATTGTCTGTTAAGAGTTTGAGGACATTCTAGTAGAAACACTAGCTTTGTTTTAAAATTTCCTGTGAAAATTGAGAATAGTGCAGTTAGTGAATCTATAATAGAGGTGTATACATAGGTTAGTAGAATTAATATTCTTAATGAGAAATTAACTTTTTATTGCTGTGTTTGGTAGCTTACAAAGAGTTCTGCTACTTCAAATTCTATTAGCTTTCTTAAAACATGCATGAAGTAGCAAGCTTTAAAATACATCTTTTTTTTAACTGGACTTGGAAATATGTGAGGATGCAAAAATGCACCACAGAGCCATTTATGTGTCAGTTAAGTTTTAATTGCTTACTTTAGTGAAGCAAAAGAGCTTAACAGTTCATTAGAATCAAGCTAGCATTATAGAGCTAAAGCTAATAGCAGTGAATTGGTTTCTGTTTCCCTACCTACTTTTCATTTAAAAAATAAATAAATGAGGAACTTTTTGCTAAACCCTTTGTGGTAGAAGAGTAAAAGAGTTTCTGAAACCTATTTTTCTGTTACGAAATATTTCTTGTGCATTTCTTTCTGTACTTTTATAAAAAATTTGAAGGGTAAAATTGTAGCTCAGAAGTTTCCGTTTTAATACTGATGTGTGGTATTGAAAATCAAGTGAAATGCTGATGCATTTTAAATTAAACCAATACATTTCAGTCAGAACTGCTGTATTAGATTGCTGAATAGTCAAAATAGACATTGTTGCATTTGATGCAATTGTAGAAGCTGGTGGACAGGTGTGTTTTGAACAGTTAAGAGAGAATGCCATAACTTTATAAAGCTGTTTCAGTGTGCATTTCCTTTAGTTGAGAAGCTAAGGCTATCTGTGTCTCTAAATCTTGAGCTTAGGTTGCACATGGTCTTTGTTTTGTAACTTTATGGGTCTGTCTAGGAGCTCTGAGTTGTAACCTTAGCTTTTCCCTTCTTCAACCAAGTAGAAAAATGATGAAGTGAGGCTGTAGCATTTGAGAAATGGAGGTGTGTTTTCATGGTTTGATCATTGTTTCCTGCCCAAATACCACACTGGGTAACACATCTGTGTTGAAGTTTTTTCTAGTAGAGAAGCTAGACTGCATCTTGCCAAAAAATGGTAGCATAAAATACATAACCTAAATCCTCTTAGAATAAGCTGCTTTGATGCAAAACGGGACATGAATTAGTTATAACAGTTTGTAGCTTCTCATATCAGCACAGTATTTTTTCACCAAAAAGTGATACTCTGATGTGCTTAGTTCTGAACAGCCACTGCAAAACCATATTCAAACAGTAGTATCTGCTCTTTGCTGCATTTGTTCGTTTTTCTCAGGGTATCAACACTATGAACATAATTTCCTTCACTAGTTTTTTAAACTATCTGGTTCTTTCATACGGTATGTGAGGACCGTATATATTTTAAAACAGCAGTCGAGAATGTGTGAAGTCAAATATACTGAATATGAGAACTGGAATGTTGAAGAAGCTTGGGATTGAATTGTTGAAGTCAATGGAAAATTGTCAAGGCCTTGGATTTTAAGAGAAAAGAACTTTGCAGTAGTTCTGAAGTCTTACTTGATTAAGAAGCACCTAAAAAGAAATGTGTTAGGAACAAAAATTTTTGAACAGTTGACAGATGATTTGGTCAGAGTAGAGTCAAAGGGTAGAGCTGAAAAATTGCAGAGCTTTTAAACATCACAAAAGCATAATAAAACAAACAGCAGTGGGTTTATATGCAGGGCAGCAAAAAAAGAAGCAAGGAGATCATGGAAAAGTAGTGTAGAGCGCAGTATGCAAAAGCTAAATGTTTATGTTCCTTAAATCCTTTTTCACTAAAAAATTAGCACATTTATTATAAGAGCAACAAGCTATGGCTGATGGGCTGTAAACAGCAATGGTCACGTGTGAAGAGGCAGGGGGGTAGTTAATTTAATGCCCTTGAACAGAGAGGACTGTTTCAGTCTAGGATAATAATCTCTGGAACCATGAAGTTAGTTTCCATTTAAACCATGTTTGATGCCTGCATTTATACTTGAGGTGTTTCTGGTACTTGTTTATTTTTAGATGCATAGTTGGATGAGGGGGTTGGGGATAAGAATCACAGGTATTTTTTATTAGAGGTGATTGTTATGCTAAATAGCTTAATAGATTTTTTTTTTTTTTGAGAGAAACCTGTTTTGAGAGAAACCTGTAGGGATAGGTGGAGCTAGCTGATGATAAGCCTTTCCAAGCTGAAAAGAAAAAACAATTGTTAACAAACCTTATAGAACATTATAGCTAAAGTATTGTATATAGAGCCTTTGTGTCAAAGTACATTTTACAGGAGCCACACGTATTTATTTTTCTACTTCCCTTCCTGACTTATTTTTCAGACCACCTGGGAAGCAGATGGTTTCTCCTAGGCTCTCAGAAATGCATGTTTTATCCTGATAGATTTTAATTGGAAAAGACATTGTTTATATTATTCTGCTACAAGGTATTCTTAAATGTGGTCAGTCTGTTTGGGGAAATGATTCATTAGGATTTCCTTTTCAGTAAAACTGAAAAAAATTTCCTGAAATACATATTGATAAGACGAGTGGTTAGTAGGCTCTATTTTTATAGTTTCTCAGTTTGCCACACATTATGAACTATGTTACATTGGTGATGTTTTGGGTGATGTTTACCATTCCATATGTTTTGTTGGGTACCATTGCCATGTTCAGCAGAATTTTCTTAATAAAAAGGGTTTGATTACACTCACATGGAAGCCTAATTTCTGCATGCATCTATGCATCTACTAGCATTAAAATAGGCTACAAAAACTTTGGACTACTTTTCTGAATGTGTTATTAATGTTTTAATATTTTTTCTCTTGAAGAATCGTTTTGAAAAAGCTGTTGTGTTCACTGTAATTGAGCTGCAGTGAATAGAAAAGTCAGCCTGTTTTCCTGCAGTCTTTTATATAATTTTGAAATATGGATAGTTTGAGGTGTTCAGATACATATTATACTGTAAGCATAAATACTGCAGAGCTAAAATGCAGATTTGATGATGATGCATGTATAAATAGGTGTCTCTACAGTAGGATTTTAAAATCAGCTACTGTTGACCTACTAATACAAGTATAATACAGTCACTCAGCTGTTAAAAACCTGATCCACTATTTAAAAAATATACAAAAACAAATTGTCTATCTTTCTGCCTGATCTCTTTTCAAGTGCTAACACAATGGAAACAGTGGGTGATCTGTCAATGCATTTGGATTGTCAGTGATGGTTTTGTATAAATATTGGGAGGATAAGAAATAAAATTCGCACAGCAGAATATGATTTCATCTGCCTTTTCTCTGCAGCTCCATGGCTCATGCTGCGGTGTGAAATTCTCATTTTACACACTTTGCAGGTGGAGCACATGAATTATGCATTGAGCAAGAGAAATCTCCTGCTTCAAGTCCTATATGCATTTACCAGGTTCTATCTCTATTACCAAGATGAATTGCAAATGGAGAAATGTTTGATGGAATATACCTTAACTTCTTTGTTTAGTATTCTGCTTTTTCCATAGTAGGATTTCTTGGTAGGAAACTGTTTGGGTTATATTGTAGACTTAGTTTTAAGAAAAAAAGATGAAAAATTATGTTATAGAGAAGTGTCAGACACGTCAGGACATTTTTATTGTCCTGATTTCAAATGCAAAGCTTTTTTTATTCATTAGAAATATCTGCAGTCATTGGCTATTTATTATTCCTAGATAGCCAATCAATTTTCTTTTCTTGGAGAAACCAAATTAAAAAATAATCATGTTTGTAATAGGCAGGACTCACGTAAATAGATTTCTTTGGTGTTTTGTACAGAATTGCACACAATTAATGTATATACCCATATATGTAATACATATAAATATGAAAATATTTGTGTGTTTATGTGTATATAGAGCATGCACTCACATATAAGTAGCTGAGTGCTTTCTTAAGCTTGACACACTTGACTGAAATAGAAAATAAGACATGATCATACTTTAGCATTAGCTTTTACTGGATTTAATTAGCTTCTGATTTTGCATTTCCCAGATGGTAGAGTAAGGTTTGGTTTTGGTTTTGTTTTGTTTTCTATTTAGTGGTGTTATTTGTTTGCTTGTTTTTATAGTATAAATATAATCTTCCAATAAAGTGCGCAGTGGAAGTTTTTCTTACCATGCATTACCTTGATACAAGGATTTTTCACTTGTACCTTATCTTAGGACCATTTTACTTTGTTTTGAAGAAATAAATTCTCTTGAAGGATTTCCCCCTGATTTTTAAAGATGTATTATGTAATAGAATCAAAATAGTATCAGTCCAGAAATAGATTTTATCTTACGAAAGTACATAACAAGCTTTGTGATATGTACTCAGTAACAACTCCAGAATGGCAAAATAAGTAACAGAAAAAACAAACTGAAGCATACTGTTCATGTTATTTGTGACATAGAATGTCTTAGTTGTCTCCAGTAAACAGATTAACAGCGAAAGGGTTCCTTGGCTCTTACTCCTAATGTTTTAAAAAGTTGTACTGAAACATATGAAATTCTCGTCCTTGTGCACCTCTCATGTGGGTGAGCCACTTCTTATGGACTTTATTGGATGCATAAAGCAAGGGAATGAAGAAATCCCATCTCTACTGAAATAATTAGCAAATACAGAACTGTAGCTAAAAATAACATTTGAACCTTTGTCATAGTTGAAGGTAGAACTGTATCTTATGGATAAGTGGGGACAGGGAGTGAAAGAGTTCAGAAATTGAGGATTTTTTTAAAATATGTTTGCGGTTTTTTTAAGTGGGTTCTCCTTTACTCTGTTTTGGCTTTTGAACAGTTTCTGCTTTAGGAAAAAAGTTGATACATGGTTTATAGTAAAAGTGCTGCAGGTGAGAACTAACCCCAAGATTCAGGGCTAAATATTCACCAAATGGGGCTATAAAATGGGTTGGAATCCATTAGAAGGATTGTTACAAAATTGTTTCTCTGACATTTTATAAACCTGAGTAATTATGAAGTGTACTATTTTTCCTTATTTCACATATTTAAAACAAGAATAGCCAAAAGAAGCTTCATGACTTGCTAATAAACACACTTTAAGAAAAAAGGCTGGTAGTTGTGAGCAGAATGGAATTCAAGAAAGTAGGTTCTGCAGCAGAGTCCCTCAGTAATTCTGGACAGATATATAAGACATGGAATAACATTAGCACCATAGCCATGGATTTATAGGAAGAACATGATCAGTAATGTCATCATGGCTGAGGTCAAGCCTGGTAGTCATTGATATCTATGGCTTCAAATAGTGACGTTAGCTAGTTCCTTTAGTGTTCTTTGGAGGGAACCATGGAATTTCTCCCCAGAATTGGAAAAAAAAATATACTTGTCATTATTGTTAGTTTACAACTGACCATGAGGCTGAGAGACTAGAAGAAAGGGATTGCACCTTGAGCAAAGAGGTGTCATTTTATTCTATGGTGACAGCTGCTGAGTTTCTGAGAGGACTCTAAACTCTTGTAGAAGTTTATATCATTAGTACCTGAAATGCTCAAGAAATGGAGGCCCATATGGTCATAAGGAGTTTTGCTGATTTATTTAGACCTGTTAATTTATTAGAAATGGTAAAATATTTGTACATATATGCATTTGCCTGTCACATACTGTTGAGGAGGAAACTGGTAAACTAGAAAGTTCACGTAAGTGTGACTCTGAAAGACTACATTTAAATTACTTGCAGTACCTTGGGTAGTGAACAATGTCTTAAGATCTAAAGGCAGTTGACACATTTTCTAAAAGAATGGCAAAGCCTTCTGTTTGGTAAGTGAGTCAGAGAAAGCAAAGGCAGAAGGAATTCTTCAGCTGACCCAAATGAAGGCTGCTTAAGTGGGGGTAGGAACAGCATGATGACAAAACTGTTGTGGCTACATCCAAAGATCAGTCCTTTATACTAAACCACCCTCTTGGCAGCCTATACTGAGCTGTGACACACTAAATTCTTTCCTGAATCACCACTGTCTTGACATGCTCTGGAGGTATGGCCAACACTCACTCTTATTAGATTTGTTTAGAAGTCTTTATTTAGGTGTATTGAAACAAATTTTGTTGAAATACTCTGTTTGCCAAGTTACTGAGATAACTCTATTACTTCTCTACTCTAAAGAGCACTGCCAATTCTTATTACACTACTGACAGTTCTTATTTTTAGAACTCATCTTAAAGCTTAAAATTGGAATTTCTTTTGTGACAAAAATCAACTTAGTTTTATTTGTCTAGCAATTAAGTAAAATCCCAGTAGACAGCTGGACAGGATTCCATGCTCCTAGATAAGTGCAAATAACACCTGTTTCTTGTTGAATGGATTTTGACCTGTTCTTCATATGGAAACAGAAATGTTAGTACCCAGATTTTTTTGTCTCAAAAAAAATGCTGCTGTCTCTGTTAGTGGTCTCAACAGATGTATCTGATCTGTCACCTAAAGTTTTCTTTGCAGCAACAATGATTAATACTAAACAAACACATTGTCTTCAGATATTCAGTTGTGGAATTTAGGTTCTGTTTAACTGTGTAAAGAAATCTTTCTCACTATGTGAATTCTCTGGATCCCAAGCCCTGAAAATGAATATATTTTGCTTTATGAAAGCAGTAAAAAAAAGCACATTTTGCTTTATAAAAGTGTTAAAGATTTGTTTTTGCTGATATGATGAAAGATGAAATATTTATATATTTTGACAGAAAGAAGAAAAAACAGTACAAGACAGAAAAACTCCAAATAAACAAGACGTGTTTCTCTTAGATTTAGATGATTGTAAGTATCTTGATTAAAGCCTCATTTTTCCCATGGCATAAATTCAATTCCATTAATTCATTGAATTTTAAGTGTCTAAAACATTGATTCTGTTCATTTATTGTACCGGTTTCCTGAGAAAACAAAATAAATGCTTAGACTTGCAAGTTATTTTTAAGCACAATTATTACAATATGAGATTTTGTTTGGTTTTTGTAACTGAGAAATTGTTTCAAACTTTAGTATGTATTGGCATGTAAAACATTTACTTTGAGAATTTTTATGTGTTAAGACTTGTCTTCTGTCAAAGTGGGCTTATTTTCTCATCCAGTAATGGATGTTACTTGTATAACACTGTACAATCTATGAACCAATCACATTTTTGAAGAACAGTGTGAAATTGTACTCTTGGAAAGGTCAGGCAGAGCTGGCACTGTTCTTTGACTATGCTTTTAGTACCCTTCTTCAATTTTACTTCTATAGGTGCAGTACCTTAGAAATAGCATTAACATGTACTTTGCACTTAACTTTTAAATGAAAAAGTACATATAAAAGTATGTATCAAACTGAAGGATAAAATAGGGGGGAAATGGGAAAGGAGGGGAAAATATTTTTAATATAAATTGTATATGTGGTCTATACTTATATTAGTTGTATTTTCACTGTTTATGTTGAGTATTAGGGCTATATGTCTGAAAAAATAATATAATCTTCAATTAAGGAACATAGATACAAGGATATAATAAAAGGTTATAATAATTAAATCAAGATGTAAAGGGGTTTTTTTGCTTAATGAAGAAATATAATTTTCTGTCCCAGTATTTACATTTTTTTTCAATTTAAATATCAATTGCCCTTTTACTTCTAGTCTGTCCTGTGACAACTCCTGTGACAGTTCCTACAGCAGCTGTTTTATCCCCGAGTTTAACAGCAGACTTAGAGGGATTAAGTCTGTCAAGTTCATCTGTCATTGATGTAAGTAAGCTTTATAAGGTGGGGTGGGTGGGTGTTAATTTAAGCTTTTCACATACATTGAGATCATCATTAAAGTGTTTTTTTTTAAGTTCTTTCATCTATAAAGGTCTTGTATGAAATTCTGCTTTACATGCAAGTCTGGCAGCATTTTTCAATCTGTAATTATGTTCTGAAATGTGGAGAAAAGTATGAATGTTGCATGTCTAAGAAGGATGCTTCCAAGAATTTTTAACCTTCTCTTTCAAGCTTTTACTTTGCCTTAGGGAAACTTTAATTCTCAAATTAACTATCCAAACCATGCAAATCTTTCAAATGATCTAATTGCTACACTATCAAAAATAAGCTACAAGAACATCACATACTTGGTAATACTCAGCCTGTTTGTTTACCAGACATGCCTCCAATTATGACATTTTGCTACTTGGAAGTAATTTTTCATGAGTATATGAAGCGTAGCCCCTGGGTGCAAATAAAAAGGGTATAGATTTACAATCAGTGGTGTATCAGCATGTGTCATGATTCATTCTGTTAGTGCTTTGTAGCAATTTCCATTAGGGAATCTCAAAACTATAGGTATAATTAAGGTTAGCAAACTCATGGAGGTAGAGAGCATTCTTTGTTGTGGAAAAGGATAGTAGTTTGTTCTTTTTTGGTTGGGTTTTTTTAGTCATTTTTGTATGTCCAATTTAAATTTGCAGTTTAATAAGAAATTGCAGTGGTATGAAATAGGATATGTTTCCTTATGCAAGTGGATGGAAGTCACCAGAAAAAAACACCAGAGTCACAGATATTTTTCAGCCTGACCTTGTTTCTAATGAGGCTGGTACGTAGAACCTACACTGCAACTCTAAAAATTGCTGGTAAACTACTTTGTGTTGGTCTTGGGAGCAATAGTTTGCAACATCAAATACTTGTTATGTAAAGGAGTTACATGAATGATTTGACTCAAGAAATAGATGATGGTAGCTATGATTGAGTTTCATGTTTGCAGGCTTCAAAATTTAGTGTTGAAAAGGTAGGCTTTCTGATAATTTGTTGGATATTAGCCTTATCTAAGAAAACTGAGATGTAATAAAAATTTCCAGTAACAATCCATGAACATGCAGTCACTTCACATGACATGTGGTGGTTGATGTGTCACACAGTCTGAAGATGCCAGAAGTTCTCTTTCATGTTGTTTTGCAGTGCAGTATACTGTGTTAGGTGGTAAGTCTGTGTTTAACTGCAGCTGTGGTGTTACTCCTGTGATTGCCACCCCATGGTTGGCTCCTTGCCGTCCCTTATGGCTTCAACAACTCAAAACACATGCAGTCATATGTTTTCCTGGGTCTGGATTAGCTTAAGAATGACTCTGGTGTCTTTGCTTTACTTCAGAATTATCACCTTCGAGGATAAGTTAAGGATAGCAATCAGTAATGTCAGAGGCTTGAGAACACCCCCTGCTTGCCAGTGTCCTTTCATCATCTACACTACATGAACACATATTCTATTCCCATATTAATTCTTGTTTTCCTCATGATTGCTACTGTTCATTTGCTAAATTGCCTCTCCCTATTCTTCAGGTTGCTACAAAGAACAAGAGGTGTTAGAAAGAGCTAGAAGGTTAGGCTAAAGAATAGTTGTTCCCTATGAAAACATTGAATGTGCAAAATGCCTCTTCCTTGGTACTGCTGAGTTCCTGGTAACCAGCAAAGAAGCTGGAACATTCTCGCTGCTCTGGAAACAACACAAATTATGTAAGAACTAATTCTTGCAACCTGGATGGTGATTACATGTTTTGGTCTGTATTCTGTTGTTCAGATCTAAGCCATTGCCATTGATAATTGCAGATGTACATGAGGTCCTTTGCTGGGCTTTCTGCACCAGGGACCAACAGAAATTAAACACTAATGTTAAAAATCATTCTTTCAAATGATATCCATATATTGTAAAAAGTCTTGCATGCATGCAAGTAGTTAAATGGCTATTGTCCTATGTTGTTTAGTACCATTGGGTAATTTTCTAAAAATCAAAACATAAAACCAGCTTTATGTGGGAATGTCTCTTAAAACAGTATTTTGAATTTAATCTGTGATGACTGATTCTAAAAATACCTTAGTAAACTTCTTCTTCCTTCAGTGAGAGAGAAGATGAATATAACTGTAGGGCACATGCCAAACTAACAGTGAGAAATTAATTTATTACTAGGCAATGGAGAGCATGGAGTAAAAATAGATAAGTACAGTATATGACCCTAATATCAAAGAAATGTAGCAGCCACTTATCTTGGAATATGTCAAGCAGTCTATTATTCAAATCATTCAGCACTGTAATTGGATACAGCTTTTAGAAAACTTACAATTTCAAATTCATAGCTGTTGAACATTATAGAAAGCATAAATACAAGAATGATTTTACAGTAATGGTAAAACCTACAAAACCAAAATATCCTTGAATAGAAACTGCAGTGCATAACCTAATACTTTGTCCTGTGGCTCATTTGGTTTTATCGTTTATGTTTACATATAGCACATTTCCCCCTCATATAAATGCACACGTGCATATTATAGTTTGTTCCAGGAAAAACAAAATTCTCTTATAATTCATGGATAACTTTCTTCCAACTGGATGCAAAGCGTAGTAAATCCATATGCGTGCTTTTGTGGTTCATCTTCAGGTTCAACTGAACCGGGTAACTGAGGTCGCCAGAGGCTTCTGTGTGGCTTTTCAAGGTGTACATGCAAGTGAAGTCAAAACTAAGTGCTTGGGGAAACTGCAATTGGCATCAATTGAGTTTTGGATGGATAATTTACAGGCTTGAAAGATATGTGAAGATGCAGTGCAAATAAAAGACAGGAGGCAAGAGAAAGCTGCAAGCTGTCAGTGTGAAGCAGTTATTGGAAAACACTGGAAGTGGGTGTTGTCCCCTAAAGGGGGGTTATAAAGTGGGAAAGGAAGAAATTAAAAGAAAAACTCATGACTGACATAAGGACAGGAAGGGTTATAATCTGCTGCAGAAAATAATATTTTGAGCAGAAATGGTGAGAGGAGAGAGAGGAGAGCCGTGGTAATGCAGAGAAGCTAAAGAGGGGAGTGATCATCTGCTCCTACCTGTCACACAGCTGATGAAGAAAAAAAAGCTAAACCACCTGTTCTTTTCTCATTAGGATTTTAGATGGTAAAAATGTACAAGGAACTGCTCTTCTAAATGTGGAGAGCCCTGAGTATGCTGCATAGCATAATTAACTGATAAAAATGACCCATACTTTTATAAACAAAATTAGTGAAAAGGAAATACTGCTTTGGTAGCATGAAATCTTTTGTGATTCAGAAATGTTTAGTGCAAGGAAGTACTGACAGCTGGATATGAGCTCTGGTGGTAGCAGCAGTTGGATAGGGCAAAAAGTGTGTGAATGTATGGGTTGAGTTGAGTAGGATTTGAGGGGAGAAGGTAGTTTCCCTGCCCCAAATAGGATAACTTAGGGTAAAGGTCAAGGGTGACTAAGGGAAGCTCATGAAAAAAACATGTAGCAAATAAGGGGAAAACTCTTGTTGTAGTGTGGAGGTACTTATGAAAATATTTGATGCAACAATTTAGAGTTGCTGTTAATTATTGTGCTTTTGGAATTAAGGTGTAATTGTAGGTGGTACCACTTTATTTACTAAGGTTTCATTTAGTATGTCCAGTGTTTCCTCACGATAGTAGTTATTACCATAGTAATATGTTTTTATTGTTTTACTACTCAACTTTCCAGAGAAACTGTTTAGGAAGGGAGAAGTAAATCATATTGTTTTCTGTTTTGTGTCTTCTAAAGAACTTTTGACTGAGATCCACTTTGAGAACTTCTTTAGACTGATGATGCGTAAAGCAGAAATAATAGCTTTTGTCAAAAGTCAAGGTCAAGCTGCAGACCTGTCAAACCAGGTGATAAATACATTTAATTTTAAATTGAGTACACTTACAGAATTCCTTGAGAAATAGTAAACATGAACTCCCTCAATATTTAAGTAGAGATATTTTCAGACTCGGAGAACACCTTTAATGGTATTTTAATTTCTAAGTTGTTGACATAGTCTTTACAGGGGAAGACTTTCTTGGTATTTAGATGGCTTTGTCGATTCAGGCTGTTTCTAATTCCACTGTAGCAAGTCTTAAGACTGAATCTGAAGTATATGCTTCTGTTTGAAGCATCTCTGCTTAGAAGTACAAGGAACACAAGAATAGCAATAATGGATTATATTATGACTTTAGTCTAGTCTGTAGTTTGCAGGAAGGGTTAGCATGAGGTCTTTAAGAATTTTCAAAATCCTACAGTAGAGAAATAAATAGTAATTCTTCTAAATAGTTATTGGCATGCACTGAACTTCATGAGTCTTATTTTTTCAGAGCTTTACTAGCAGCAGTTATTTTTTAACTATATACCTTTGTCATTCATATAAGCTCACCTCAGGAATGGCTGCATCAGAAGAAAAATGAACTTGTTATTGTCATGAAAGAGATGTAGTGCAATCACTTGTGATAGCAGCAGACTGTGGGCGATGGCACTCTTCTGCACATTGTTCTCAGAGAGCTTTTTATCAACTACCATTATTTTTAAGTAATTATTTTACATTTCTGTACCTATATCCATACTCTCTTAAAATTTTTTACTTGGGCAAAAGGTTATGGTTTTAAATCAACTTTCAATGTTAGTCACATCTTCTCTTTTGTATTAGGATAACACAAGCTTATTTTTTTATAGTTTAGCATTTGCCATCTTGTTTTTTACTTCCTATAGGAAATGTCTTATCCTTTTGCTGTCTCACCAGAAGAGAACTTTTTCCTTTGCGTTCAGTTATACTTCTTCTGAAGCCTACTATTTTATGTACAGGTTGAAACTGGGAAAGTTTGTTCTGGGGAGGTGAAGGGATGTGTGCTACAAGACAGCCTACATATATCCCATTCCTGTGCGTACTTAAAACTTCTTTGTGGTGTTGACCACAATCACATATTAAGCAGAGATGTTTTCGCAGTTCTGCCT